TCATTGGCACCTTGAGAAATCATCTCAATGTTGATACCTTGTTCAGCAAGTGTAGAGAACATCGTGGAAGCAACACCAATGAACTGCTTCATATGCTTACCAACCAATGAAACGATGGACATGTTTCTCGTAACGTCAACGGTACCTAGTTTTTTCAACTCTTGCACGGCATCTCTCAGGTCCCTATTGGAAGCTTCATCATCAGAGTGCTGTAAAGCCATTGAAACGTGCACTTCAGACGTTGAGATCAAATCAACAACCAACTTATACTCGTCCAAAGTGGAAAAGATCTGTGCGAGGAATCCATGAGACAGCGTCTTCTTATTTGAGTGTACGTTCAACACGATGATATCGTGCTTTGCAGTGATCGCCGTGGCAGCCTTCTTCTTTAAGAAGGCAGTGGCCTGTTGTGCCACGATCTGAGGTGGATGCAATGGAGTCTCTTCACCTTTACGGCCAACGTCATCAGGGTAGATGATTGTGCCGTCACCTGTCGGGTTCTCAACGTTCTTGATTCTGATTGGGATCTTTGCCTTGATGACTTGCTCCATTGTGAATGGATGGATAACCTCAGAGCCGTAGTATGTCAACTCTGCAGCCTCCTCTGGGGTGACAGAAGGTAGGAGACGAGCAGTGGCCACTTTACGTGGGTCTGCTGTGAAGATACCGTCAACTTCTTTCCAGACTTGCAGCTCATCAGCGTTGATACCAACGGCAATCAACGCAGCACACAGGTCCGTGTAACCACGTCCAACACCGTTCAACAACCCACCAGGCACAATACCAAAGTAACCTGTAAACACTGGCACGATGTCGTCATTTTCCAACTCCATGATCTTCTCAGCCAGCGACTGGCTCAGGTTCTTGTAGAAGGAGTCGTCAAACCCGGACTTGGACAGATCCAGCCCTGGAGCAACGAGACCCCAAAAACAAAAGTATTTGGCCTTGATTCCGTGGTCGTTGAACAGAGCGGTCATGAAGAGACAGCTGAGCTTCTCACCGGCGCTCATGATGGAGTCCAGCGTACGAGGAGAGATCTCACCAATGATCTGCGAAGCATGCAACAGCTTCAACACCTGGTCACACTCAAAATTCGTATCCTTCAGCAGCTGCGCCAGCAACTCTGGGGACTTCACCAGCGCCTTCGCATTGCTCAGGTGGTCCTCTCTCACCAGCTCCAGCACTCCCTGGTAGTCGCCGTCGATGGACGCCAGGTCCGCAGCCCTCAGCAGCCTCGACGTGGTGCCCTCACTCTTGGTCTTTGACGAGCGCGCTGAGCAAACAACCGCTACTCTGTTCGTCTTGGAATACACGCTGACAATCTCATCGGTAATCTGCTCGCTGAACTTTCCAACTGACGTGCCTCCAAACTTCTGCACAACCCAGCCTTGCGACTGGAACGACGACGATAACGAAACACTCGACATTGTTCTACAAAGTGTCCTTACTCTTGCAATGGAAACAGAGAGAAACTGAACAACATCAGCTCCACGAGACATTTCACTTATGACTCAGGCCACAGGGCCTGAAAAAAAAACTGAAGCAGGCCCGGTCGGCGGACTCGTCGAGGGCATGCGTTGATGCGGCGCGTACCGATGACGAAACACAGTGTGGTGATGTGCGGTTGCAACACGTTGTGGCTGAGGAGGGTAGACGGGCCAATTGGCGGTGGTGTTAGCATTGTTTGGCCGTTGTTTGGGTGTGGTGGGTGGTTAGCGATGTGCACAGAGGTTGTACGGGTGTAGCGTGTACGGTGTTGGTGTGGGTTTCTGCTGTTGGGGGTGCTGCTGACAGGAGCGTGGTGTGCGGGTGTAAACGGTGGTGTGCGGGTGTGAGTGAGGTGTGCGGGTGTGAGCGAGGTGTTGGGGTGTATTGTGGTGTGCAGGTGTGAGTGCTGTCTTCGATGGTGGGCTCCCATGGACGCTGGGCCATGGTGGGCGTAATAACAAGTTATACCAGTGTATTCCGGCAAGTACAACGCTCACTGGCGGTCTGTGCCCCTTCGTTGGCACTCAGTGGCACTCAATGGCACACCGTCGCTGTCAACATAGCTCCTCTGCCGGTATCTGTTTCCCAATTGGGCGAATTGCCCGATCGGGATGTTGATCCACGCCTCTGAGCTGCCTTGCAGCGCCAGAGAGAAGAGAACCCAGTGTCTCTTCTCTTTATCCTCATGGACAGATGGTGAACATTAGAGGCAGCAGCTGGATCCATTCGACATGACACGCCACAAGTACGGTATCGCGGTTGATTCCGGGTCCTCAGGCTCACGTATCCAGATCTACTCGTGGCCTGATCCTTCAGAAGTGTCCAAGGAGGACACTTCACAGTGGAACTCAGTGCCTAGAGTGTTTCAACAGGAGGACTGGAGCTATAAGACCTCACCAGGGGTGTCGACGTTCGCAGACAAGCCACACAAAGTGTGGGACGATCACTACGAGGACCTGATCGAGTATGCAGAGAAGATCATCCCGAAGGAACAGTGGAATGAGACGCCTATATTTATACTGGCAACTGCAGGGATGAGGTTGGTGCCCAAGAAGAAGAGGGATACGCTGCTCGAGACGATCTGTGAAAAGGTTGGGAAGAAGAGTGAGTTCTTACTGGAAAACTGTGCTGAGCAGGTTCAAATCATCGATGGCGAGACGGAAGGTTTGTATGGCTGGATCAGCTTGAACTACTTGCTGGGCCAGATGGATGATTACGACGTGAGTAGCGAAGAGAGCAACGATTCACTACGCCCGAGTTACGGGTTCATGGATATGGGTGGTGCCTCCACCCAGATCAGCTTTGTTCCGTACTCCAGGGAAGAAATCGTCAAGCATAGAGATGACATATCAACGGTGTACCTACGGAATGTTGGTGGTGGTGTTCAGCAATGGGACGTATTTGTCAGTACGTGGCTAGGATTTGGTGCCAACGAGGCGAGGAAGAGATACTTGAAGAATCTGATCAATATACTACCTGAGCTGAACAACAGCAACGATGAGGACGATTTCAACACGAAGGCTGTTAATGACCCGTGTTTACCACGCGGCGCAAAGCTAGACTTCCTCCACTTGAAGCATTCCTACGAGATCATAGGCTCTGGTGATTACGAGAGCTGTTTGAAAACCACGTACCCCTTGCTGCTGAAGAATCTACCTTGTACTGAGACTCCATGTCTGTTCAACGGCGTCCATGCACCAGAGATTGACTTCCAAAGGGATAAATTCGTTGGCATCTCTGAGTATTGGTACACAGCAAATGATGTCTTTCACATGGGTGGTGAGTACAACTTCCTACAATTCAACGAGAAGGTGAAGTCCTTCTGCGAAAGTGATTGGTCAGAGATCCAAAAGAACTCAGAGCAAGGTGCCTATAACAACGTTCCAACTTCGATATTGATAGATGCATGCTTCAAGGCCAATTGGGTCATCAATGTATTACACGAGGGGTTCAACCTACCTCGTGTAGGCATTGAGGAGAAACACTCAACTTCTGAAGAGGCCGACTTGGAGTATAAACCCCATATCCCCTTCCAATCTGCTGGAAGCATCAAAGGTGCAGAGTTATCGTGGACCCTGGGAAGGATCTTGCTGTATGCCTCCTCTATGATCGCATCTTCTGATAAGATCAGTGTCGGAATAGCACCGGCCTCCAAGGAGAACAAACCTTTTGTATACGGAGGCATTGATAACCCGTCGCTTTCGTCACAGCTCGGACACGGATCGTGGAGCTTCTTACTACTGTTCGTGTTTCTCGGTGCGCTGACGCTTGCTTATCTCTACATGTACAAAAGAGACTCCCTCAAACGCTTTCCCACTATCTTCACGCAAATCACATCAAAATTGAAGGCCAAGTACAACCATTACCGGTATCTCAAGCTGTCGACACAGGAGCAGACAGACCTGGAGTCCGGAACCCTTGCAACGATGGACAACCACGAGGATAAAGCACAGGACGGCGCAGTGTCTGGCAGCATGAGCCCAGCACTCAAGTCGAACGAGGACTTCAAGAACTTGAGAACAAGAAGCTATGCCAACTTTCATCTAAACAATGCCTTTGCTCCAAAGAAGAACTCATCCAAGAGCCCCGGATCCTTCCTGGAGTTTTCAGAGTTCAACAGAGAAGGGCTCGTTCGAAGCCAAAGCTCAACAGTCCTATGAGCCCTGTGACACACACGTCTATAACCATATATATACAGCACACTACAGACCATCACACCCACCTGAAAGGTGGCATCAGGCAAGTAGCTATACGCCATGTGTAGTGAGTGGTTCATCACCGGTTGCCTCGGTGATGCAAGGGTGTTGATACACCCGGACACCAGTTCCAAAATAGCACACACATCCCGAGCATGGATTCCACCGTGTGAGTATATTTTTTTTTCTTCCTTCGGCCTCTTCCCCCTAGGTTACTATTTCACACATTTAGCTTGATTTGCCCCTTGTTTCGTCTCTGATTGATCCAATTAGCTGAACAGTCCAATCATCATGTCTGATTTCGTCGGTCAATTGCAGTCTTCTTTGAAGTCCATCGATAATGTAAGTTGCTCGTTTTGATGTTTCCTGCTTTGATCTGGGTACTGTTTTTCAGGCCCACGTAAACAGGAGAGAAGCTGAAATATGCTAACATGATATGTGCGTGTGCTTCCGATAGAAACTTGCTGGCAACTCCATTCTTAGCCAGTTCGAGTCGTCCACCCAATTGCCAAGATCCTACGCTGTTGTCGGTGCTGGTGTGTTTTACTTCATCTTGATCTTCCTCAACTTTGGTGGGATTGGTCAATTGCTCTCCAACATTGCTGGGTTTGTCGTTCCAGGATACCTGTCTCTTTTGGCCTTGAGAACCTCCACCTCCAAGGATGACACCCAGCTGTTGACGTACTGGGTTGTCTTTGCCTTCTTGAACGTTATCGAGTTCTGGTCAAAGGCGCTTTTGTACTGGATCCCATTCTACTGGTTTATCAAGACATTGTTCTTGCTCTATTTGGCACTTCCTCAATTCGGAGGCGCCCAGGTTATCTACAACTCTGTTCTCAAGCCACTTGCCGACCAATACGTTCTTCCAAACCAGACAGACAACTTGGCTGACAAGGTTGATGAGGCTGCTGAAGCTGTCTCCTCTGGTGTCGATCGTCACTGAAGAAAAAGATGATGGTGGTGTGACTTCCCCGTGATGTTGTATCTACGTTATCGATGTTTGTACGTTAAATTTTATCGTATACTGTAAGAAAACAATAGTAATGTAACCAAAATCGGAGTATTACAGCTTATATGGGGAACAAAGGGACGGTGATAACGTGATCCATTTTTGCCTTCTTTTGAATCGGTAGGAGAAATGTCAATCACAACGTTTCAGTAATTTGCCCAAAGTCGAACTGTTCAGTAGATGCCACACCTTGAGAGTTGTAGGTAAACTTAACCCTCAGTTTGATTTTGGAACCAGCGTTACCAACGATCTTTAGATCCTGTGTAGCAAAGGAGTTTGGTGGGATCACTGGGTTAGAGATTGAAGTCATTGTCAATTTCTGAGTCTTTGGAACAGCAATGAGTAGCTGTAGGCCTTCGATTTGATGAGCAGTTTTATTTGCAATAATGGTTTCGATAATGGCTTGGCCATCTCCAATACTTTTCGGTAAGAAACAAACTCTTACAACGTCGTTATGGAATGCTTCAATACCACCAGTTGGGAAAGACTGAATAGGTTTATCGGCATTGCCTCCAAATAGATCCAATATGTCATTCTTGGCACTTGAACTCTTTGGCGGGGTTGCTGTCGATGGTCCCGAGCTTCCGAATATATCACCAAGTAAGTCAGTTGCATTGATATTTTGAGTGTCAGCTGGAATCGTATCGTCATCCATCAAGTCAAGCAAGAGGTCTTCAGTCTTTGAAAGAGATCCTCTACGTTTGTCAACGTCACCTTGGGACAACATGTTATGCTTAGCCCTGTTTGTGAGTGAAACGGTGTCCTTTTGTGTGATAACAGGAGGTGGCATTCTATCCAAGACACCTCTTTTGATGTTATCAGGTTCATCAAATAAAACCAGATAAGTCGTTGCCTTGATTTGAATTCCTAGGTTATCCGATGTGGTTTTTGACTTGATATAGTTTTTCAATTTGGATCTGGCAGAAGAATCTTGAACATGTGTAGACAACTTCACCGCAGATGCAAGGATGAACGATACAAGCACTGGGTCGTCGTTTTGAAGATGAGAAAGTCCAACCAAAAAGTCCGCTAAAAGAGTGTCTGTTATCTTTTCACCATCTTCCAAGGATGTTCCGAGTAACAAATCACCATATTCACCTGCTAGATACACCGCGATGTTGTTTAACCCATCTTTTGAGGAATCCGTGTATGCCTCCTTGAATAACTTGTTGATAATGTATTTCTTCAATTCATCGTTGTTGGGGATATTCATAACCAAAGCTAAGATCTGAGAAACGATCGTCGAAGAGAAACAATCACCACCTAGGTAACAAAGTTTAGCAATTGTATCGAATTTCCATTTTTCGTTTGGAATGAGTTCTTTATGCCCCAAAATATTTGTAACGTTTGTGATGATATAAGTTTTCAATTCCCTATCGTTATTCACAGGGTTTTCCAAGAAGGAAAGGATTTCCTTGATCAAGATTCTAATGTTACTGGAGTCCAATATTGAAAAAGTCAATTCCAAAGCTCTTCTCTTTATGGAGATATCTTGGTCTTTCAAACATGAAACGATTGTGGCTCTATGTCTTTGAACTGCCAATGGCTCGATATCCACCACAGTCAAGAAAGTGTTTAAGGCAACATATCTGTTGTTGTTATCCTTTGTACTTAGCAGTTGGCCCAGAGTGTTAATTCCCAACACTTTCAGCGCAGGATCCAGATTTGGAATGGAGAATATAGTCTTGACCGTCTCATGGAGAACGGACGCGGACGATCCCTTTGCCTGTGAACTTGAAGAAGACGATATGTTTGCGTACGATGTGATTGAAGTCAGAACATCGTGCAATTGTTCGTTGAACTTATGGCTCTGGGCCTGGTGTTCTTCATCGATAAAGATCAGACGCAGTGTTTCCACAAGAGACACTTGTAGGAACGGATCAGCAACACCTGAAACGGCGTACTCTGGGTTCAAATCCTTGGCCAAACCTTTCAAGATATCGATAACCTTCGGGATCTTTGAAACAAGAAAAGATCTCGAATCCGGAGAAACCTCGTATAGGCTTCTCACCAATTTCAAAGCGCCCAATAGAACACCGTGGTCCGTACAGTCCAGCAAGTTGTTCACCTTTGGCTCAAAAATTTCAGCAAGGTCCGGATCCTTCTCCACGATCTTAGCCGCAACGAGAGCAGCTTTCTTCTTCAGGTAGTTGTTGTTACCCGAAATCACCTTCTCCACGTCAGTGTACAAGTCTCTTGCCAATGCCGGGGAACAGATGTTCCCCAACGTAGTCAGCGCCAACGACACGATGAACTGGTTAGGGTGGTTCATGTCGTTATTCAACGAGTTCGTCAGCAGGGTCAACACCTCCTGGTTCTCGTCCAGTATCAGCATCGTGGCCAAATAACCCAACCGTTTGTCCACAAAGTTCGGCGACGCCAGCAGCTTGATACACTCAATCTGACCAAAGTGAGTCTTCTCACCAAGGATGTACAGGTACAACAGCTTCTGGATGTTGATACGACGGGTCTGGTGCGAAACGTGTGTATCCTTGAACGCCGTTCTAATCAGCGCCGACTCACGCTGGATGATGGAACGCTCATCCGCTATGGTCTTCGACGACTTCACGCTCTTGATGAACGACTTGAGCGATGTGGTGACCATTTGGCTTTGCTTTGCTTGCTTCTTCTGCCTCTTCTTCTCACTGCTTGAGTTGCCGCCGTGGAGATCTCCCTCTTTGTTTATGTCTTTGTTTATGTTTTGATGTTTTTTCTCGACAAATCTCCCCTTTGTTTGGGGGTATTTTCGTGTGTTTGTGTTCTATTTTTTTCTCCACTGGGCACCACGAACTGCAAACGGTGAGCAAACAGTGAGCTCACGGGAAACGAATAACGGTGCCGAGCATTGAGTCGTTACAATGGGGAAAAGGGCACTGGAAGAGAGGAACCTTGGGCTCATAGACCCGTTTGCCAGATGGCTGCAGCAGGTGCAATTCAAGACGCCGCTGCTGAGGGTGAAGTCGCAGTTCACATCGCCTAGGACGAACTATGTGCTGCTGACGGACATGGGGCAGAAGGCGAAGAAGACGGAGCCTGTGAGGATATGGGCGAAGGTGCAGAAGGTCACGGAGGACACAGTTGGTATCGAGGTTGTTGACTCTACTGTGGGCACGAGGTATGTCCTCAGATGCAGTAGTGACGACTTGGTGACTGTGCAGAGCGTGCTGAAGATGGACGACCCGGTGCTTCAGGCGATGGGGCTAGAGAAGGAGCACATTGAGACCAGGGGCATGCTGAGCATGTCATTCCGGTATAGGTTTGTTGAAGATGGAGTAATACGCGATACCATCTCGGAGAGGATGCCCTGCGAGCCTGCCAGATCGGCCACTTCGAGCACTGAAGGGGAGGATGAGGATACTGAGGATACTGAGGATGATGAGGATGATGAGGATGAAGAGACCGTCGTTCTGTTAAGGGACGACACGGATACACAGCATAATCACAGTGAGGGTGTTGCGTGCAATTCAAGGCCACTGCCCACGATACAGACCGAGAGTCCGTCCATCCAGAATGAGCCGACGAGAAGTGACGACAACAACAAGAATAGCAACAACACTAATGGCACGAACGCATCGAATGCAATGCCAGCGTCTGAGCCAACTGACCATTCTTTGAGGCTGAGTAACGACCAACTACAACAGAGACTGGTCACGTCTATGGGGGAAATACAAGCATTGCAGTTACAGCTGATTGTTCTTAGATACTGCTTGGAGGATCAAAGGATACGTGGTTCTCAGAATGATACTCATAACCAATCAGAACAACCACAGGGAAGCGGGAGTTTTAGCATCCAAAACTTTGTCCTGCGTAAGATCATATCCAAAACTTCAAATGGAATACTGTACGCAGTTGAACATGCAAGAACAGGTGGCTGCTACACTATCAAAGAGATTAGTAACCAAATCGGAGCAATTGATACAGATTACAGAGGACAGGCTTTGGGGAGAGAGCTGAAAGTGCTGATGGATTTGAGAAACAGTGGCAACACCAGTCCAAATTTACTCCAAACCTATGATATCATCTTCGAACCTACACCCCTACGAAACACATGCTACATCCTTTCTCAACCAGTTGCATTGTCATTTGAAGAATTCCTGGATACGATAAAGGAGCACATAAGGCCAGAGAATACGCAGTTATTTGCTACAGCAGCGTATCAAGTCCTATCAGGATTGAATTTCTTCTTAGCACACACAGGCTGTATTCATGGCAATTTAGGTCTGAACAACATTCTGATATCAACTGATAACCAAATTCTGATTTCATCCTTTGACCACGCCGTCGCAAGGGACAAACTCATGCATTATTCGTTGTTCTTGGATGACCAAAGAAACCTGAAATACAAGCATAGCTGTATTCTTGAAGCTAGACGATCAGATAGCTTGGTCGTTTCAGGGGTCAACCTTGATATTTACTCACTTGGATTAATACTCTATCGATTACTGTCACATAACGACCTTTACGAAGATTCAGATGATTTACAGCAGAGGTTCGGAAAGAGACTAACTCCAAGACCGACTGAGATGTTAGTGTCGTTTTTTATGAACTTCAACACTTATGACAATATACTAGCATGGCCATGGATGAACGCACACAAGGCTCCAACTCTAGGGGAAGCACTGCAAAATATGACAGGTAACCAAGGTACAGTTTGATCTTTTGAGATGTAATATAATAATCATTTAATGACAAAAGTGAGTATACAAGATGTGATCATTCAACCATGGCTTCATCCTTCTGGTTATCCAAAGTAGCAAATAATCCATCGAGGTCAAATTCTTTAGCCCATTCATTAACGATCGTGGTCTGTTCCACACTTGGAGCACTACCGGACCCAGTGCCTTTGATAGCATGGTGCTCACTTGCAGAAGCAGCAGATTCTTTCGAAGATTTTGGCAATACCCATCCGTTGATCTTACCATCTCTCCAATCATTCAACACACTGACACCCGCAGAGTGCAAGTTTGGAATACCACCTTTACTCAATCTTCCTCTCTTTCTTGCAACGTGAATCAAAAAGTTCTTACAGAATTCGTTAAGGTCAGAATCAGGAATTGGGGGAAGCTCGTAGAACTTCTTAAACGATTCTGTCATCTCTGGGGATTTGGCAATTCTCTTCAACAGTAGCAGGATCGCAGGGACAGGGTCTGTGATTTGCTTTGGAGGGAGGGCATTGAGTAAAGCCAATTGTGCTTCTTGGTCAACCTTGGACTTCTTCTTCTCAGATGGGAACACGATACCTGGGGAGTCCAACACTTTAAGCTTACCATCGATCTTGACCTCTCTCAGCGAGGTTGTAACACCGGCTTGGTTACCAACTGGACATGCCTTAGAAGAGCCACCGTGGCGTGAGGTCAATGCATTAATGATGGAAGATTTACCAACGTTTGGGTAACCAATCACACCAACGATGATTGATCTCTTGAAGTTGGATTTTGCAGCGTACGATTTCAACGCCGTGAGTAAGCTCGAAGTGGTGACTGCCTGTGTCATATTCTTGTTGAACGAAGTACTGTTGGTTGCACCACCAGATGCCTTCACTGGGATAGTTGGGAACGACGATTTGAGGAAGTCCATCCATTTCTTCAAGACTTCAGGTGGAATCAGGTCAATCTTATTCAGAATGAGTATTAATCTTTTACCTTGACTTTGCAGGACAGCTTGCTCAACTTTTCTTGATCTTGTACCTTCTGGATCTCTGGCATCTAAGACGTACAGCACAACATCGGATGCTTCAACAACGGTCTTGAAGATCTTATCATAGGCCTTACGGGACTTGTCCAGTTCTGAATCGTCATCGCTGTCGTCACTAATTTCATAATCGACAACTTCCAAGTCCTCCTCATCTTCGCCATCTTCATCGCTGTCCTCACCTTCATACTCCTTAGCGGCTTGTTGAGCACTCTCCAAGAGTGCGGCCAGCCCGTTGCTGTCACCGTTATCGTTCTCATCATCATCTTCTTCCATGGCATCTCCAACGTTCTCCCCAGAAGCAAGCCTCTCCTGTCTCTTCAACTCCCTCAAGCGTTCTCTTTCCTCAGCGTGCTGTCTCTTGGTCTCCTCGATCTCATTGACAATTCTGTCCTTGTATGGGAAACTGGATGGAATACCTGGGTCCTTCTTGTGCTTACTCTTCCATGTTGGGTCCTTCTTAGCAAGCTTGTTCTGTTTCTTTCTGTGGGCTGCTGCTTTCTTCTTAATACCTTCCCTCATACGGGTGGTGCCTCTCTTGGAAACTGGCTTCTTAAGTCTCATCTTGGTCCACTACTCTGTGCTTTAATTGGTCTACTGAGCGTATACAAACGATCCATAAAAGAGAGAGAAACGGTGAAAAAAATATTCGAGGCCTCACAAAATTTTCATGCGATGAGCTTCTTGGATTTCCTATTTCGGGAATTACCGGATTCGGATATTGGCGTTTTTTTTTTCGCTTTTCATGCTGCGCAAATTTGGCGGAACTGGTGTTACTGAAAACGGCAAGAAAAAAAAAACACACGCCAAAATCAACACAACATTGAACTCTTTGCCACTTCGCCATCATCGTTCTTTCTCTTCAGTTGGAAGGAGGCAAGGCAGGATGACGATTGCCGAGGTTGTTCCGAGAACTGGTCCTGATCTTAACATCATCTTATCATGTCCTGAGTGTAAGGTTTTCCCACCCGAGCTGGCTGAGAGGTTTTCCGAAGGAGATGTTGTCTGTGCGCTGTGTGGACTTGTGCTTTCCAACAAGGTTGTTGATACACGTTCTGAATGGCGTACTTTCTCGAACGATGACCAGAATGGTGGTGATCCGTCGCGTGTTGGTGAGGCCAGCAATCCGTTGCTGGATGGTAACCAGCTATCCACGATGATCAGTTCGCAAGGTGATAACGCCAGGGTTGGTAGGGACCTGAGCAAGGCACAGAGCAAGAGTATCGTGGATAAGAAGGACAACGCATTGCATGCGGCGTATGCGAAGATCCAGATGATGTGCGAGGCTGCTCAGCTACCGAAGATTGTGGCTGATGGTGCTAAACAGGCTTACAAGCTGACCCACGATGAGAAAGTGCTGAAGGGTAAGAGCCAGGAGAGTATCATGGCTGCCGTCATCAAAGTTGGGTGTCGTAAGGCCAAGGTGGATAGAACCTTCAAGGAGATTTGCACGTTGACCCGTGTGCCCAAGAAGGAGATTGGCCGTGTCTTTGGTATCATCAAGAAGATACTGGAGGAGAAATCAAAGGAGAACCACCAATTTGCCACACAGGAGAACTTCCAATCCTCTCAGACGTCTGCAGAGGACCTCATCAGAAGATTCTGTTCGCATTTGGGTCTTTCTATGCAGTTGACCAACGCCGCAGAGTACATTGTCAAGAAGTGTCAGGACACCGGTGTGTTGGCTGGTAGATCGCCAATCACCATTGCGGCTGCCGTTATCTACATGACTGTACTCCTATTCAAGGCGGACACATCACCGGCAAGAATCGCAGAGAAACTAGGAGTCAGTGACGGTACTATCAAGACAAGTTACAAGTTGCTGTACGATGCCAGAGATGATCTCTTGGACCCTGCGTGGATCGAATCAGGTAAGATCAAGCTGGAGGATTGATACCCTTTCAAAGATCTTCTTCTCTTTTGTTCTGTCTACTCACCACATACAATACAACACGATACAACATGATACGATACGATATGGCACTCTCGAGTCTTCCCCTGAACGTCGTGGGCCCAGGCTTGTATAATCCAATCTAACGAACCCATTCCTCACCTCTGTTCCCTCCTGACGGGGATTTCAATGTTGGTGTAAGTGCATCACGAGATGGAAAGCCCAACCAACTCAACGTGAAATTGCGGCCTAGAGCCATAAAACACGCACAACAACCAGTCAACACCCAACACATACAACGTAGAACACACACTAATGTCCTCTACAACCCACCAGATGGTGCCATCTCCTCCAATCACCGCCTCCCTCTTTGCCCTAAACCATCAAGCTTCTCGTACAAGTCTGGTGTCTGGATGTTTCGGATGATGTTGTTACGGGCAACAACAATGACACGAGGGGGGCCAGCTCCCCCCGGGTATATAAACCTCAACATTGTCCCACTTATGGACGGCCTTTCTTGTTCCATTCGCAACTCCTGGAACTCCAATTGAACTAAATACAATGTCTGCTGTTAACCCTTCTGACCTGGTTTCACTGAAGCCAGCTTTCTTCATCCACTTGGATCTGGCTGAGCCAGATGCCGTCGTTAACAACGCAAAGGGCACCGAGACCGTGGTGATGGTTGACGGGGGTTACGCCAAATCTGTTGACCCTGAAACATATCCATTGGACTTGGAGATCACCAAGGGATGGGACATTCTGAGAACCTTTGCTGATAAGCCAGAGGTAACCAACCTGGATTGTGATCTCTGGGGTAAATCGAAGTCCAACGGAGCTGGTGTTCACATCTGGTACGATGGTGTTGTTGTCATGAATGAGAAGGCCCTTGCGGTTATCCAAGGTGGAGCCAAGGGATTCGACCACAGAGAGGCTTACATCACTAACCATCCTTCCTTCCAATTTGGTGAAGGTGCTGTTGAAGCCACATGGGCTAAAGGTAAGAACTTCTTGGGTAGAGGTATCTTCATCAGAGATGACGCTGGAAAGTTGGGTATTGAGTACTACGTCTACGTCTTGGAATAGGCGATATCCACATATATACCCCATTTATATATTTGAAAATACTCAATTGACGATCTGACTGTTGTACTTTTCCACTATGGAGTCGAATAACTTGTTCTTCTCGTCAATGTCCAATACCGTTGGGAAATTTGGATCCAGCTTGGATAGCTGGCTCAGTTTGTCGCTTGCCTCTGTAGAATCACCCTTGATCTGAGCATATGCGTATTCATTAGCCAATAACTCCGCACTGGCACCGTTGGTCTCAGCAATCTTTCTCAACACTTCATCAGCCTCAGGGAATTGACGCAATTGGAAGTTCAACACCAAATCGCCAACAAGCGTCTTTACGGTAGGGTGCGAATGGCTCAACTCTTCAAAGAAGTACAAGGAGCCTCTCAGCGACTCACCGTTTTTCGCAGAGTTGACATACGCCTCAGCCAAGTTAAAGATGATGCTATCCTGCGCATAAGATGAGGCGACAGAGACCTCCTTCTCAGCCAGCTCAAGCTTACCCTGTGAAAGGTACAATTGTACCAGCAGCAGAACAGCCTCCAGCGAGTTCTCATGGTGCTGGAGCAGAGTGATGGCCTCGTCTGTACGTCCTTGCTTAACCAAGTAGAAAGAACCCAAGTTTTGTACAATAGATTCACGCTTCTCCTCCGAGATCAAAGCGTCAAATTTGGAGGAGACGTCTTGACCCTGGACAAAGTCAGCATAGAGAGAGACCGTCTTGGCCAAAACAGCATTGTCGATCCCCTTGGCCAGGCCCTGAGCCTCCTTGAACTTACCGAGTAGAATCAACGACCTTAGCTTATACTCGATTGCGAGATCCTGTGTCTCGTCGTTGTAGTCCTCGAGGGAGATCTGGGAAACTTCCTCCAGCTCACCGGTGAAGAACTGCTGGCGCAGAGTGTAGAGCTCTAAGTGAAAAGGAAGGTGTTAGTCTCAGCACATCTACGAGCTCATTTCATCAACATACCGTCACTTTCAGACATTACTTTCAGTTTGTTTACATCAAAAGAGCATCAAAACAAACAGCAAAAGGGCTCAAATCTTTGAAACTTTCACCGTGACCACAATCCCATATGTTCCGAGGGGAGGACATCACGTGACAACCCCGGAAGTATAGAGCATGCCACCCCGGGGTTTGGATCCGTAGATGTATATACAGAGGGACGAAACGGTAGCAAAACTTGTTCCTTGTTCAGCAATTCCAGGCCAATTAGCATATAAAGTATGAATGCTGCAATCCAAGAAGGCGCCATGAACCCAGATGGCTCCATTGACGAGAAGAAGCTGGATCCTGTTGCTCAGCAGGCGTACCAGTATGCGATCGAGTTCTATGAGAAGGACCACCTACTCACAAGGGACCAGAGATCCATACTAGCGAAGACATACTCCACGGTGTCGTATGCCACGCTAGGACTGGGCTGGGGTACTTTCTTTGCGGTGACCAGTATTCCCTTCTATCGCCAAAAGATCAGAACGGGGTCGACAAAGGGGACCAACGTTGGTATTGCTATGCTCTTTGGTATCGGCGCGATGATGCTGACTTCCCCGTATTTCGCAATCAAGACCTACAACTGGCAGCTGGAGAAGCTGAGACAAAAGGACAACGCGTGCTATGAAGTTGCCAGTATGCTGAAGCCAGGAGAGACCACCAAGTGGATGCTATACTACCAATTGACCATGGATAGTCCGGAGCATATCATGAAAGACCCAAGATCCAAGGCAGCAGCAGAGCTCAGAACAAAGACTCTGTACTCTGGAAGAGACCCTATGGGGCTCTATAGTGGTCCAAGGGCTGAGATGAGTAAAAGAAGACGTGAACTGGAACTGGAAAAGCGTCAACAACAACAACAAGGTGTTGCCCCTCCAGCACAGCCATCCGAGCCAGCAGAGACACAGGATGAGACCTATGAGTTCAAAAGCGTTACACCTACCGATGATGATCCTTTTGCAGAGCCTGCACAGGAGGGAAAGAAATGGTCATCTGCTTGGGATAGAGTCAGAGAGGAAAATGGAACACAGTCATCGCAGTCTGCCAGTAGTTGGGACCGTCTAAGAAGTCAGTCAACCATACCAAATATCGGCTCATCTTCACCTTCAGCTAGCACACCAGAAGGAAACTCAGCATCCCAATCAGATTTTGATAAACTCCTAGATCAAGAGAGACACCAATCTGATGAGCTGGAGAACTCCAAGTGGTAGACAACAATAACAGCACCCCCATATTCACTCCAATACTTATATATATACTTATCATATCATATTCCGTAGCTATAGAAGCTCTGTACTATTCAAAGTGTAAATGTTGTTAATTATTGAATTATATAAAGAATAAGTCTCTATGAGAATCAAATCAATGCGTTGTCGCATCTCTTGGACTCCTTCAATTCCTTCAATTGTGGAATGACCGTCTCCAATGGAACGGCATCGTTCTTGGTTTGCAAATCAGTGATATCTCTGTTTCTAACGTTCACAGACTTGGATTGTTCTTCTTGGTCACCAACGATGAAGATGAAGTTGTACTTTTGCAACTGACCAGTTCTAATCTTCTTCTGCAAGGTGTTACCGGTCAAATCAACATCAGCGTAGAAGCCTTCAGCTTTCAACTTAGCACCAACTTCTTGGGCGTAGTCAAAGAACTTGACACCAACTGGAACCACGAGAACTTGTCTTGGAGACAACCAGAATGGCCACTTACCAGCAAAGTGCTCGGTCAAGATAGCAGTCATTCTCTCAACGGAACCCAAGATGGCTCTGTGGATCATAACTGGTCTATCAGTATCTTTCGTGTCTTCAGAGGCAACATCCTTTGTACGGTATTCCAAGGCAAATCTGTCAGGCAATTGGAAATCCAACTGAATGGTGGCACATTGGTGCCATCTCTTCAAGGCATCAGAGATCATAATGTCAATCTTTGGACCGTAGAAGGCACCATCACCTGGGTTAACTTCCCATTTACCACCCCATTTGTTCAGGGCAGATTCCAACTTAGCCTCGGCGTTGTTCCATGTTTCAATTTCACCAACGTACTTCTCTGGTCTTGTAGAGAGTTCCATCTTGAATTCGAAACCGAAAACACCATAGACGTATCTCAAGAAATCAAAGATGGAGTGAATTTCATCTTCAATTTGATCATGAGTACAGAAGATGTGGGCATCATCTTGCTGGAATCTTCTAACTCTGGTCAAACCAGAGAGCGCACCGGAGAACTCGTTTCTGTGGATGACACCAAAGTCAGCAACTCTCCATGGTAGTTCTCTGTAAGAACGTTCACGAGACTTGAACATGAGACAGTGACCTGGACAGTTCATTGGCTTCAAACCAAACTTTTCCTTTTCAACGTCGAATGTAAACATGTTTTCCTGGTAGTTAGCCCAGTGACCAGAGGTTTCCCACAACTTAGCGTTGTACATGTTTGGAGTGATGACTTCGTCATAACCACGCTTACGGTACTCTGTTCTCAACAAGTCTACCAAAGTGTTGTAGATTCTGGTACCGTGTGGTAGCCAGAAACAAGAACCTGGTGACATCTCGTTGAAATAGAACAACTCTTGCTCTCTACCGATCTTACGATGATCTCTGTTGGCAGCTTCTTGCAAGAACTTGAGATGTTCCTCCATTTGCTTCTTCTCTGGGAAGGATATACCGTAGATTCTTTGCAAGGAATCGTTTGTAGCATCACCCAAGAAGTAACAAGAGGAGTTCTTCAACAGTTTAAAGTTTTTGATACGACCGGTGTTTGGAATATGAGGACCAACACACAAATCAATGAGCGGACCACATCTATAAACAGTGGTGGAGCCACCGTCCGGCACCTTTGTCTGCACCAAGTAGGTCTTGTACTTTGAGTATGCAAACATCTTGAGAAGATCTTCCTTACTCATAACCAATCTCTCGAATTTCTGCTTTTGCTTCACAGCGTTCTTGGCAACAGCCTCCAAGTTTGGGAAATCAGCCTGCGAAACAGCAACCTCACCTCCCTTGACGGAGAACTCGTAGAAGAAACCATCATCGGTTGGAGGTCCCAAACAGATGTGCGCACCCAAGTTACACTCACACGCCTCACCCAACACATGCGCAGAAGAGTGCCAGAACACACGGCGGCCCTCTTCAGTCTCAAAGTCAAAGAACTCCAGCTGCGCGTCACCTTCCAATGGTCTCTCCAAGTCCCAAAGCTCACCGTTCACCTTGGAGATACACTGTCTCTCCAAGAACGACTTGCCGATCTCCTTTGCAATCTCAAATGGAGATGTCTCCCATGCAACACCTTCCTTGACGCTGCCGTCCTTAAGCGTAATCTTAATGGCGGAACGTGGCTGAGAAGCAACAAACGTGTCGTACTCGCCTTTCAACTTCTCAAACAGCTGGATTCTCTCGTCAATGAACTCAGGCTGTGGGTCCAAGTAGATGGCGCTGGATACCGCACCAGCGTTCTTATCCTTCTTGTTCTTCTTCTCCTTCTTTGGCGCTCCGCCAGAAGGAGCACCGCCAGCGCCTTGCGCCTTTGGCGCTTGCTTCTTGTCCTCAGATCCAATGGACAGCTTGTCAACTTTCTCAGCAATCTCTTGCGACATTGTGGATCGGCTTTGTTGGAATTGTACGATTTCCTTTTGTTTCTTCGTTGACTCATTCGACGTGTTTTTTTTTTTCGTTTTTTCTCTCTCTGCGCTGCTGGCGGCAATTTTGTTTTTGTGGTTGGCGGTTAGCTCAGAAATCCGAGGGCCTCGGAGTTCAAATTTTTCCTTCTCTTGTGTGCTTTCCCACTTTGGGCTGCGCGCGATGAGACGAACAACACCGACAGCTGTGACAACAAGCTCTTCAGACACTTGTGGATATAAGCGTAACGTTGGCGTTAACTATGGAGGTGTGAGTATTGGCGTGAAGTTGTCTTATGAGTGTGAGGTACTAACGTCGGAGTGCCAGCGTTGAGTCAGGAGAGGTGGACTTTCGAGACCAAAAGTCGATAGCGCCTACGATTGATGAGGTTAACGATAACCCGGATGAGCTTGTTGAGATGCGTGGTGAAGGGCGCTACTTCGGCGCCAGCGACCCCTCAGCGTCGATAGAGTGTGCCCATTGTCACCAGAAGGGCCATAAGAAGGCGCAGTGTAAGGTTGTGGTGTGTCGTTCGTGCGGTGTTGTTGGGGACCACTACGAGAGGCAGTGTCCGAAGACCATGGTGTGCAATAACTGTGGAGAGAAGGGCCACGCCAAGGTTGACTGTAAGCTGAAGGCACGGAGAATCTACTGCCAGAACTGTGGTTCTGGCGGCCACACGATGGACAGATGCCCCGGCATCTGGAGATCGTACCTGACGAACACGATGCCCTCCAGAATGGGGTTGCCCAACAACATATACTGCTACAGATGCGCAGAGAAAGGCCACTACGGAGACGAGTGTACCTCCAGCAGGCACGCACGAAGCACCGCAGTGGATGGCAGCGCGTTCTCAGGCCACAATTTACCAAAGGAGGTACGGGACATCTATTTCAGCATGGGCAAGAAGCGGAAGCGCGATGACTACAAGCCTTCAAAGTCAGGCATCGTCGAGAAGGTGAAGAACACCTTCCGGAAATCAGATGATAACAAGAACAAAAAGAGACATAAACAGTCTCTCTCCCACTCCCAAAGCTTACCGTATATACCCAGCACAGGAAGAAATGACAACGGCAAGAGTGCCATGAGCAGGGCAGAGTCCGTTCTCAACTTCCCAAGAGGTGGTGGGAAGCACAAGAACAGCGACAGAGATGAGCAAAGAAATGGCTTCGGTAAATATCTCCCTTCACGTTCAGGGTTCCTGGGACCTCGCAAGAGACGCTAAGCCGATAGTTGAATGGAAACCTCTCGGTAAGTTACCCAGAATGAGTAGTATTGTATATGTTTGAGTAAAGAGAGGTCACGTGATATGGTGATGAGGCGGAGAAAAAAAAAAACTTCCCCCGAGTCAGTGAATCTTTATTACCCATTTTGAATGGAAGTCAGGACTTGCTTCATCAAAGGGACAAACCAATTCTCCAACGATGCTGAGACAGATAATCAAGAGAGGTTCATCGAGCGTTGTGCTCTCCTCGCGTATTGCACGTGCTGTTCCTTCAAGGGCTGCTTTGTTCCACAGTTCGTCCACACAGTACTCTGCGTCAAAGACTGTGAAGCTCACCGCAGAGTCGTATCCGAATGTTAAGCGTGACGAGCGTTACGCCACGTTGGAGCAGAGTGACATCGACTACTTCAAGTCGATTTTGCCAGAGAATGCGCTGATCCAGGACCAGGACGACCTGCTCTTCTACAACGAGGATTGGATGAGAAAGTACCGTGGTCAGTCTAAGCTCACTTTGAAGCCTAAGACCACTGAGCAAGTTTCTCAGATCTTGAAGTATGCTAACGAGAGAAACCTCGCTGTTGTACCACAAGGTGGTAACACCGGTCTGGTTGGTGGCTCTGTTCCGGTCTTTGACGAGATTGTTCTCAGTTTGGCAAACATGAACAAGATTAGATCTTTGGATACCACTTCCGGTATCTTTAAGGCCGACTCAGGTGTTGTTCTTGAAGTTGCTGATCAGCATTTGGCTGAGAACGGGTACATCTTCCCATTGGATCTGGGTGCAAAGGGTTCCTGTCATATCGGTGGTACCGTTGCAACCAACGCTGGAGGATTGAGACTCTTACGTTACGGATCTCTTCACGGTTCAGTGTTGGGTCTTGAGGTTGTTCTTGCCAACGGTAAGATCGTCTCCTCCATCGATGCCCTCAGAAAGGATAACACCGGTTACGACTTGAAACAGCTCTTCATCGGATCCGAAGGTACCCTTGGTGTCATTACTGGTCTGTCTATCCTGTGTCCACCAAGACCAAAGAACTTCAACGTTGCATTCCTTGGTGTTGAGTCATACGAAGCTGTTATGAAGACCTTCGTCAAGGCCAAGTCTGAGCTCGGTGAGATCTTGTCCGCTTTTGAATTCATGGATGAGAGCTGTCAAGAGTTGGCTAAGAAGCACTTGAAGACGGCTTACCCATTGGAGGAACAGCATCCATTTTACATCCTCATCGAGACCTCTGGTTCCAACGGTGAACATGACCTTGAGAAGTTGGAGGCATTCTTGGAGAGTGCCTTTGAGAACGAGGTCATCCAGGACGGTGTCATTGCCCAGGATGAGACTCAATTGAAGGGACTGTGGAACTGGAGAGAGCAAATCCCAGAGGCTTGTCAAATCAACGGTGGTGTCTACAAGTACGATGTCTCCTTGCCATTGAGCGACCTGTACGGACTCGTGGATGCTGCCAGAGAGAGACTGACACAAGCAGGTCTTCTTGGTGACACTGAGGACTTCCCAGTTATCGATGCCGTTGGTTACGGTCACGTTGGTGATGGTAACCTACACTTGAACGTTGCTGTCAGACGTTACGAGAAGAGCGTCGAGAAGGCACTTGAACCATTTGTCTATGAGTGGGTCTCTTCAAAGAAGGGTTCCATCTCCGCAGAACACGGATTGGGATTCCAAAAGAAGAACTACATCGGCTACACCAAGTCTCAACCAGAGATTGAGATGATGAAACAGTTGAAACAACTCTACGATCCAAATGCCATCCTCAATCCATACAAGTACATCTAATCAGACTCATAAATATATCAATTAGACAAATATCTTATACACCTCCAGTGACAGCTGCAGCTGTAGAATCCCTCCATCATGGCTCCTTAACCATATACCAGCATACGACCCCCTTCACGTTGAACGTCTCCCTCACTTCGAACCCCCAGTGCTCGTACACGGGTAGCACATCTGCGTTCACACACAGTAAGGAGCATCTCAAGCCATCCTTCGACGCCCTCTCAAGAACCGGTCTCACCAACAGGCTTGAGCTTGATGACGATCCAGGACGTCTTGAGAGGAAATGCAAATACCAGTTCTTGTTAACCATGTCCAGCCTCTTGTCAGCTGCCAGTTCCTTCTCTGCAATGAGATCAAAAACCTCCTGGTCTGGCTCCTTTGTAGCATCATCATCCTTCTTTGGCTGCGCACCACGTGGATAAGCCGGTGGGAACCAGACAGCCATGGACTCATGGTTGGCGTCTTCAACCACCAGCGCACCTTTCTGAGACTCAGCACGAAACAACGCAGCCTGCTTCGCTCTGTTGGCCTCGGTAGGCTGGTTGAACCCGCCTACTTGTCCCATCTTGACCTTTGCGAAGCCTTGGATCAACGTCTCGGCAACCTCTTCGAACACCACGTCTGCGGTAACATTGGGAGCGAACTGAATGCTGGCTTCTAAGGTCATCTCGCTGGTGCAAATGGCCTGAGAGTGAGGCACAGACGAAGCAACAGAGGCATCACAGGGCGTTCAATGCTCTTTAAATACGTACACGTTATGAGTTATCTGCTTCAACAGCTTCGAATTGTACCGATCGGCATCCGAGCGCCGCAGACCGTTATACGCCGAAATCGTCAGACGCCGGCAACTGCGTCCACCTTCCCCTTATGGCTACGTAGACCAGCTCCACAACGGGCAATATCGCTTAAGAAGCTATGCAATTGGCGACCGAGCTGACGATCATGGATCCCTAACCATGTACCAGATCACAATGTCGTGCGGCATTTGGATGGTTTCCTTCACTTCAAACCCCCAGTGTCTGTACACTGGCAGAGCCTTCTCATTGACACACACCAGCACAGTACGCTTGCCTTGGTGTGAAGCAACTTCAAGGACCGGTCTCACCAGATCGCTGGCTTTGGTGTCACCAGTGGGACGTTTGCAGAGGAAGTGCAAGTGCCAGTGTGGGACATCTTTCAGCCCATGTTTGTGCTCGGCTTCACTCTCGTATCTGTGCATCAGGTCGAAGAAGTCTCTGATCTCTTGAGCATTGGGACGCTCGTCCTTCTCATCGTCGCCTGTGCGTATCCTCTTGTAGTCTGGTGGATACCACACTGCGAAGGCATCGTGGTTGACGGCTTCTACAACGATTGCGCCATTATCGAGCTCCTGTTGAAACGCCCTTCTGTGACGAGCCTTGTTCTCATCAGAAGGGTTGTTCATGCCGTCATAGTCTGCTATAGGAATACCTTTGAAGCCCTGGACAATTGTCTCGGCCATCTCTGTCAAATCGACTCCACGTGTAACGCTGTCTGGGAATTGAATCTGATGGTCTAACATCTTGCACTCAATGTCTCTGCCTCTTCACGTTCCCCCTTTGCTTTTCCTCAATGTAGAAATGTAGCGATCCAGTGCATATTTATACCTTGAGCAATGTCACGGCACGGCCAGCTTCCTGTCCGTCTTCATGCATACACGCTTAAGTCGTAGCTTCCAGGTGTCTTGGAGCCACAGATCTGGGCCACTTCAACGAAGGTGATGTGGGCAAGCATCCCCTCCAGTCTCCAATAGCCCTATGCAAAGCAGCGGAAACTAAGTCTCATCATTTCCTCTTACCTTTCTTCGCTGGAGGCTCTAGAAACCCTCCCTCTCTCAATGCCTCAACCGCAACGGTGCTTATATGTCTAAACCTTGCGTTGCCCAAGGGAGTGCCTCCATACCACCTGGTAACAACAACAAGAACGTTAACCAGCCCTGTTCGCTCCAACAGCCCGACTAGTCTCATACCGGCACCGGCTTCACCGCAGTCATTCATGCCTTGCTGTTGAACCTGCGGTTGCTTCTTCGAGTCTGTAGACGGTGTGCCCGTTCTCCAGGCATACATGGCTTGATGAGACGCTCTCTGTATCGACTTGTCCTGTGATACCAATCCCTGGATCAGCTCGTTAACTGAACTGGACGATTGTATACTCATGGCATGGGCCTGGAACTTCGACTTGCGATCCACCAGCACCGTGGAATGACTCCATTTGGGCTACATTTCAACGTTAGAATGGCATAGATCCACTAGATGTGCGTATACCGTACTCACCACCGTGCTCATTCTTCTAATCATGGGCTAATACACCGTCTCCTCTTGCTGAATCAGCGGTATTGGAACCGTTGATGGTGTCCTGGTGGAGGTGGTTGGCCGAGCATCGCACGATATGGTGGGGTGTTCGGGTGTTTTGCTTCCCGGTGAATCATGCCTGTTTAATGGTAAGCGCACGCTTTGTTTACACATTGGCACAACACCTTGAAACTGTGAGCTTTCCACACCCAACTTCACACGATAACTTCACGGTGGTTGTTACTGGGGCTATAATGAGGATATTAGCGGGCAATTCAGGCGAGGGAGGCGTTTCTGGTGAGTTGGTCATGTTGCTGTGGCCTCAAGCACAATGGAGAAACTAAAACAGAGCACAGTGTGGGATTTTGGTGGGGATAGAGTCCTACGACGGGTGGGTGACATGTTCAACAGGTCGTTTGTTGCGGAGAAGCTGTGCGTGTTTTCGCATCTTTCGAAGAAGTTCGTTGTGTGTGGTCGGGCTGGTAGGTATCTTGATATCTTTGATGAAGAATTCAATCACCTGCAGACGTTGAAACTTGAGCGTTTGAGGTCAGACCTGAGCGACTATTTCGTCAACATTGAGGTTCTTGAGATTGGAGGCGCTGAGTACATCTTGACAACGTCTGTCGCTGGATTCTGCTTCCGAATTCCTTTAGCTTTGGCACTTGCTGGTGAGGTTTTCACAGTTGGAAGACCCGTGAATCTATACGGGTGTATAACGTTCTCCAGGACGGTACATAACCCAAGGCCCAGTCTCATAGTCGGAGGTAAGGACCGGGCATTGACTGTGATGGACTGCGAAGAGATGGAGATCAGTTGGAAATCCATGCGAACGTCAAAGATCAGGCACGGCATGAGTTACAGCAGCGATATGGAGAAAATGAGGAGCACACCAATATGGTTTCAAGACGTTGTGGTTGACGGTGAGAAATTCATCGTTGCAACGAGATACGGACAACTCTGGATCTATCATAGTGAACTCTCACGGCAGCCAGTGGACGTTATAACGGTGTGTGATAATCCAATACGGCACCTCCATAGGATTGATAATACCCTGTTCATTGCAGATGCTTTCAACAACGTTGTCTTGGTTCATCTGCTGAGGCTGACTGTGATGAGCAGATTCAAGTTACAAATCGGGCCTCTGGGTGCTATGAAGATACAAAAGTTGAGGAATGGAAGACATGGCGAAACCAGGTTCCTGGTGATTGCCACTGCGACTGTGGATAGGTGTCTAAGGATCTATCTCGTTGAGGACGGTGTCTGCAACTGTATTGCATCCACTCCAGTCACAGTTAGAGTAACAGATCTTGAAATATTTGACGTGGACGGCCTTGATACTGTTGCTCCTCTAGAAGAACTCGACGATCTGCCAGATCACCTGGACAAAAGACAGAGACTTTAATACTATACGCTGCCAATTTACACCTGTCTTTTATATGAGACTTGACATCAATTAAATGAGTGGCATTATTAAAATTTGGGTATCGTGTGTATGAATCGTTAAAGCGGCTTAGCGGAAAGGTCATTATGGGGTACTCATTCTATATTCGTTCTGGCAGTCCACCGTGGTTGTCTAATTCTTACCACTAAACTGTGACGACTGTAGTTGCGGGTGAGCTCCTTGTTGAGGTTGTTCCTGCACAGTGGAGTTATCGAGCTCGGTATATGGAGGTGGTTGCGGGAACGCTTCACCTTGGCTGTTGTTGTTGCCCGTGTTATTCACACTGCTCGTAGAGCCATAGTACAACTGCGTCGAGTCCGCGGTGGTCAACTGCGACCCGGCAGACGATGTGACCATCGTCGCTCTTGGGTATACGCTGTGTCTTCTGGCGTTCGAAGGATCGTTCACAACACGGTATATCTGTGCCTCCTCGTCCAGAACAACATACCTGATTGGATACTTCGCAATGATGTAGAAGCTGTGAAGAACACCCGGCAGGTACCCCAAAAAGCACAGCGCAATGTTGATGAACGACTCAGCGGAGCACACACCACACTTGACCCACACGGGAAACGGCGGGAACACAAGCGCTATCAGCACAAGTATACAATCACAGCAGCAAACGTTGCAACAGCACATCACCTTCTTATTTCTCAATTCTATGGTAACCAAAATACAGACAAAATGTCCAGACAGTGTGTAGAAAAATTTACTGTGAGGGAGTTGAAAGCCTCGGCGGCAGATAACCGTTTGGTTTTATACAGAGAGGATGCAATTAATTTTTCTCCTTTGGGGGGGGGGGGCTTTTCTTTTTCTCTGCTGGGTTTTCGCCGCCGCCGGTTGTTCCGTAGCCTGGGCGCCTCTGCCTAGGCAGAGGCGCAAAGTGTCGGTTTAGGCCGATGCGCATGGTCGGGCTTTTAGGGAGGCAGAGGGTCGATGACGTACAACGGGCTCACAATACACGTTAAATGGTGTTTTATTACGTATTAAGGTGCTGAGCCTCTGAAGGCTGCGACTTTGAACTGCTCGCTCAGGTCGACGGAGTCCATGTGCTCGGTGTCGAGACTGTCGATTGTGTCATTCTCGCCGAAGAAGTCGCTTTCGGTGGCGCGCGCGTTCAGCAACGGTTGACAATCCGTGTAGGAGGGCGGCTCAGCGGGAAGAGCGCCCGTGGGCTGTGAGTCCTCTGAGCCGTCAGACAAGTCCGTGTGGGAGTTGTCGTTGTTGGTGAGACAGCGACGGAAGGTCTCCAGTATGTCGCTTCTGGCCTGGGAAGGATGCCTGTCCACAGAGAGGTCCAAGGTGTCATCGACGAGCGAGTCTATCGTGTCACAGGGGCCAAGGTCCGCTCTTGTGGATGCTCGAGAGAGGTAGTTGATCGTCTCGTCAACTACTCCAATGGAGGGGCCCAGCATTGGAGAGTTTGCCGGCGACATTGCCTCCTCAAACGTGGGCAGGTGCTCAGATATCGCGCCTGCGACATCAACTGTGTGGTAGAGAGGTAGGTCAACATTATCCGGGACACATGCACTGCTCAGGAGATACAGAGGAGTGTCGATCATGACCTCGTAGTGGTGCAATTTCTTATCCTGTGGGTTTGTTCTCGATAGTCTCAGAGATACTTGCAGCTTGTGCTCCACATGGATATACCTGTTGTTGATTGAATCTGGATAGAGCCCTTCCGGCGATTCAAAGATATGCGTTGTTGTTGGGACGCGGATATCGTTGTTTTGCACGACGGTATTCAACGCCCTGTTCACTTGTTTATTCAGCTTTGCAGTGTGGAACACGTAGTTCACCAGTCTCTTATCAGTCGTTGGAGGTTGCTTAGGGCCTTTATGTGGTTTTATAAAGGGTAAGTAACATCTGATGCTCAGAGGGCCAACAACCTCCATTGGTAAAGAGTCCGTTGCAGGGTTATAGCCTTTTGGTTCGTAGCAGGAGGAGGACAACAGGTTTTCAGATATCGTCGGCAGAGTAACCAGTTCGTCCCTTATTGCGCTTGTGAGCTTCGCTCGTGACTTCAGTTCGAAAAAAGTGATCACCTTTTCCTTTCTGTTTGGTCTGTAGTACCCGTCTTCGTATTCAACTTTTAAGTCCTCGAATTCGTACTCCAGGTTCTTTGAAGTGTAGGAGACCTTTTCAATTATATTGACTTTGATTCTCTTTAGTGATACAGTTTTCTCCAGGGGCATCAACTTTATCTTTATTGGTAACTCTTCGCCAATGGTAACATACTTCTTTGGGAATGAGATTTCATAGTTCAAGGAGTCACTCCAAACTTTGTTGATATACACCGGCTTGTTTGCTGTTGTAACACCGATCACTGGAGGCCCACGAATCACAGTGATGTCTTGATGTGCAAAGTCATAAGTCTTATTCTTTAAAACCACAATGCAACGTAGAGAATAGCGGACGTTTGATCTAAGAGTAGCCAAGGACTCAGGTAAATCAGGGCCGAACTCCGTTGGAAGACAGAACACATAATGGCCTGGAGGGAAGTTTACAGAGCCAGAGTTTACATTTTGACTTCCCAGTACGAATGGATCCTGGTCTTCCCTTTTGAAGTTGAGATACCCAGCTCTTGTGATCTGCTCCACAGAGTTATTCTCAAACTTCTTCAGGGGGATTCTCTGTTCCGTCATAAACTTGGAATTATCAATGTTTTCAAACGAGCCACTGTCTTGTGAGTCAATCTCATCAGAGTATTCGCCGTTGTTATTCATGGGAACGAAGTAGTTGTAGTTACCCAGGTTCAAGTCCCACGTGGTTTGGCCCATTTCAAACGTCTCTGTCTTGATATTATGATCACAGGGCAGTCCCTTTGGCCATGTCACTGAGCAAGATGCCTGTAGTTGAGCCCTTATAGTCGCAACAGCAGTTGGCACGTATAACGACACAACAACTGCGAATGTATGAGTCACTGGATCAACACTCTGATCGATATGTTGTGGTCTTGGGTTTGTTTCACTCAGCACAGTATGCGTGTTCCCATTCCCAGCCCCCAGGCCTTGGTCAGAATCATTGGAATCCAACGTTGTGCGTGACTGGCCATTTGTACTATGACTTTGAGCATTGTTGCCATTCCCAGCATCCATGTTGAACATATCCTCGTCAGAAATGTCAATCATTGAAGGGATGAACACGGTATCACCTGAAGAAGACATCGACAGTCTTATTGTCGGTGTTTCGCTGAGAATCTTCGGCGCAGACAGACCTTGGAACTTGAGATACTGTGTCAGCTCTCTGGGGAACTTGTCATAGTTCAGCGACTTGAACCTTGTCAGTTCCAACGTCTCGTTATCACCGGTGGAGGTGGCCAGCGAGTTCAAGTCATCAGAAGATGAGTTGTTCGAGAAGAAGGACAGCGTCTTCGACAGCTTATTGGCAAATACATTCTTTGAAGATTTGGCAGATTTCTTCGACGTCGCACTGCTGATGGAGTTGATCCTCGAAAGGCCATTGTTGTTCCCGGCATCATCGCCATCATCAACAGGGCTGTGGCTGCTCTTGTTTCTAAGCTTCTTGAACAGCATAACCAACCGACGCCTCTTAATCCTATCAGCAACTGCTACAGAGGCGAACCAAAACGAACTGAAGTCAAATGAAATGAAACTGAATTGGACGAAGAAGAGGGCCAGAAGAGGAAAGGGAAAAGTTTGGAAGAGCAGGCAACACAACTCAGCCTTACGCACTTTAAGCCCAGCACTTGTTATACACACAGGGGGGGGAGGAAACAGTGAAGAAACAGCGTCCGATGGCTACACAGTGCAAGTGTTAAGAGCACACGCAGAGGGTGCGAGAGAGGCAGCGGAAAAAACACAGGCTGACCGCACAATCCCGCCAGGAGTTCTTGGCTAGTGACCTCCTCCTCATCCTCGTCATCCTTCTGGTGTTGATTGTGAGGTTTGTTGTTGATTGTTGCCGGTGGTGTTGTGTTTTGTTTTTCCGGGCTGGACGTTATCGGGTAAATCACACCAGTTGCCGTGGGAACCTTTTCTGTTGTCGTCTACAGCGAGAACTTCTTCCTGTTATTGTAAGTTGAAGAGAGACGTCTATGAGAACAGGCCGCTATGGAGTCACAGAGGATACTAAACACTGTGGAGAACACAGACCATGTGCTGGTGCAATCATTGTACAAACATCAGATAGATGTTAAGCAGGACTCGAATACCACTGTGGCAATGAATGTGGTTCATAATGGCTACGATGCTCCGTCCACGTCGATGAGTAGAACCAGATATGAGTTGTTGAAGAAGCTGGCTACTTCGCAGTGAGTCAGGGTAGACAGCTCGGGGAGATGGATCCCCAGCCATTGACATATGCTTGTCCCGTGAGTGTAATGTCAGGGACACCGTCAACAGCGTTTGAGGCGAATACATGGGAGAAGCACAAGGGCTTCTTCAACGTGTAATCCAAGAGCTTCTTGCCCAGGGTTGGAATGTCGGTGGTTTGTTCTCTGAGTCTTTGAGCCTCGCTGTACGGCGTACTCTTGAAAGAGAAGGAAGTGAACACTTTGCCTTGTTTGCGAGAAAGATTCGATTTTCCAGGTTTAGAGCTTTGGATGGCTTCTATCAAGTGTGCTTGTGACTCGCCACCAGTAAATACCGTGGTGTATCCCTCAATGTGTCGTGCAACGAGAAATTCAACCTGGAACTCTGGGGATGCGTCGTGAGGCAGCTGGAACCCAAAGAACTTTGGATCTCGAATGATATACGACTTGAAATCGGTATACCCATACTGCCTCAATGAACTTGGCATGGGAATGTCATCCTTCTCACACGAATTCAATGATCCCTTTACCGGCTTGACTCTTGGATCCCCTATGAGCTCAATCAGCGAAAAATGGAACGAAAACAGGATGATATAGATGGGGAACATTGCAACGCAAATCCTCAGCTCGTTGATGAGTCCGATTAAACTGTCCTTAAAGCCGTTTCTCAACCTGTTACCGATTCTCTTACAGCGATCAACCCCAGCATCAACGATGAATTGGATCAACGTTTCCAAGGCACTGAACCCTGCACCGATGAGTATGTCTCTGCCGGCATCGTCAAGGCATTGGACGCTTATATCGTTAGGAACCATAAAGGATGCGTCACTGTCCGATGGTGGTTGTTGCACTGAATCATACAGCACCTCGTTTGAGGTTCCATTTAATTGTTGGCTCATTATCAAAGGCTTCTTTACACTCACTTTGCCCAGTTGTATTGCTACTCAGACCACTAATACATGAGCAGCGGACGTTCCATCGACCGAGACATGTTCCTAGTTATATACTCTTCATTGCTAACCAGCCAGCCCTGCCTAGAGCACACAATCATCTCACCCACGTAGCACACGAGATGAATTTCACCACTATATACACAGACCACCACGCTTACACCTCCATCCCCGTGCCAATTGATATCCTCTCTTCCTCTCCATCGCACATAGTAATATGCTCTCGCATCGGAATTAATTCCCCAATATGGTGCCGTCCCCGTCGGAATTTCCCTTAGGGGGTTCAGCGTAAAAAAATCAAAAAACACATCCACAAAACCGTTCATTTCCTCAGCCAATCGGAACGAAGCACTTATAAAAACGTAAACAAACGATGTCCATGAGAAGATTCAGCACTTTCAGATCGTTGCAAAAGGCCACCGAAGAAGTTGTGAACGTACTGGACCAAGCACCAAACCGTGCGAGCACATGGTCTCACTCACAGGCCTCAAGAGCCAGCGTGATTAAGCATGCAAAGTTTCTTCAGAAGGATCTCTCCAAGCAACCAAGAGCGCCAGCTGCGATTGAGCTGATTGCTAAGGAGCCTGTCAGATTCGTCAATGACCGTATTGCTGTCTGTCAAGGCAACAAAGGCCATGGCCAAGGACATCCAAAGGTCTACATCAACTTGGAGGCCAAGAGACCACACTCGTGTGGTTACTGTGGGTTGAGATACGCCATGGAGAGTTACAAGGATGAGATCTAAGGCGCCTCTCTCCTTGTCTCTGTCGATCTATTTATTTATTTATTGCCATCACCATTCGATTCTTCCCACATCCATCTACAATGTTATTTATTTATTGTCCTACTGAAGTTATTCATTCAACAATACACGCTTATAAACCAAACCAATATGCTTTCAATGCAACACGGATAGGAGCCCGAACACCACCACAACGGTACTGAGATCAAAGAGTGATAGTTGTAACAGCTCCATGTACTTGATGCCCAGTTTGATGCGTTGTTTCCACTGTAAAGATAAGAGCTGTTCAGGAACAAACCCCAGGTACTCCAGGATCTTTGAGTTGTAGTTGTAGTGCTTTTCCGGTGTATTGATCATGTGGATCGCATAAGCGGAGGTTGCAATCACCTCAAACGCTGTGAACACCTGGATGAAGGGGGTGAAGTCCCCAGTGACAATGGACAATGTTGAAGATTTGAACCCGTACGTGAAGTAGAAGTAAAGAGTGACCGCTATTGTCAGCGCCATTCTCAACGCCATCACCTGTGCCTTGAACTTATCGTTGGCTTTCTTCGCCTCGACAATCTTTTCAAAATCAACATCCACGTCTTCCTCGTGTTGTTTGCCACCTGCTTCCTTTGGCACACCGTTCATCATGGAGCTAAACATCATCTCAAGCTCTTTAGAATCCTCATTGCCAACTTGCGCGTGCTCATGCTTCACACTTCCAATGAGTTCCTGAAGAGACCTCTGGAGCTCTTTGGCCTGTGCTTGCATCTCTACGGAATCGATATCCTGCACTGGAGGATCATCTGAAAAGTTTTGAGATATCCTGTTACTCTTACTGGTCTTCTTCTCCCTGCTGACGTGTGGTAGTTCACCCAAAGAGTCTTGATGGATCATGTCCTTGATGCCATTGTCAGGCTTCACCTCAGGCTTCACGTCTTCAGCCGCTGGCACATCGCCAGTGATCTTGTTCAACCGGGCTGACCCATTAGAAATCTTTGCTGCCCTTCTTTCACGAAGCAGTTTACGCTTCTCCTGTTCTGTAAGAGCCATTTGGGGAGGTTTACTGAGCTTGCAATTTGTTGTTGAACCGAAGCAAATTTAGGCTGAAATTTTCGCTAAGTCCTTCTCCAACACCCTCGCGAACATCATCACCATCAACCTTTACAGCAGAGGAAGGATTTTAAACGGTTAACTTGAAGCATTATTTAGGTCTGTACTCTACTTTATATATGAAATGGTGACTCACTGGATATCACTTCCGATGATCTGCTCCCAGGTCTTTCCTTCTTTCTTTAATTCCTCGGTCAATTCATCTTTGATCTTGGAAACTAAGCCTGGGCCTTTGTATGCAAAGCTTGTATACAACTCAACATACGTAGCACCAGCTTTACCGAATTCCAAGGCATCCTTACCTGTAGAGATACCTCCACAGCCAACCAGGGTCAAGCCTGTTCCCTTGGCGTATTTGGCAGCAGTTCTGAGAGCCTTCAATGCCAATGGTTTAACAGGGGCACCAGACAACCCACCAGCTTCCTTTGTCAACTCTGGTGAGGACTTCAATGTCTCTGGTCTTTGGATTGTTGTGTTTGAGATGATGATACCGTTGACTTTAGACTTCTGTGCAGACTTGACGATGGATGCAATTTCTTGTTCGTCGAGGTCAGGTGCCACTTTAACCAAGATTGGGGTTGTCTTACCATCTTTGGACACCAGGGCATCACGCTGAGACACAACAGACTTGAGCAAGTTTGTAAGCTTCTCTTCACCTTGCAAGTTTCTCAACCCTGGTGTGTTTGGCGACGACACGTTAATCACCAAGACATCGGCGAATTTGTTGAATTGATCAACACCCTTGGTGTAATCCTCAATCTCATCACCAGTCTTATTCTTTCCCAGATTGATGGCCAACAGTTTGTTGGCCTTCAACGACAAGTTATCCGTTGGAGCACCTTGGCCAGTCAACTTCTCTCTTCTCTTTTCCAGTCGAGCAGCAACTGAGTCGTGGCCTTCAGAGTTGAATCCGTATCTGTTGATAACAGCATCATCTTCAGGTAATCTGAAGAATCTCGGCTTTGGGTTACCAGGCTGTGGCAATGGGGTGATGGACCCGATCTCAACGTAGCCGAAGCCAGAACCGAATAACGAGTCGATGGCTTCTCCGTGCTTATCCAAACCGGCAGCAACACCGATTGGGTTCGTCATCTCCTTGCCAAAGACATTCACCTTCAAAACAGGGTCGTCCTTGTCAACAAACAAGCGTGGCGCCAACCCGTTCTTCATGAGCCAAATACCCAGGAGATGTCCTTGCTCCGCATCCGTGACGGCCCTGATGATAGGACAGAATAGCTTCTCGTGGATCGAAGAACGAGCATCAAAACAGTACGCAGTGAACACACCAAGGCACGCAACCAGGCCAGTGATTCTCAGTGGGCTCAGAGACGCCTGCAATGGTCTCTGTGTAGAGTGACGACGAATTCCACGTACAAACAATGGTACCACGCGGGCTGAAGTTCTGTTCATTGTGTCCTTTACCACAGCTTCTTGTCTCCGTTTCGTGGCTGATTCTGTTTGCTTCTCTTCCGTTTCCAAACCAAATGCTGGCGATGAGCTCTGTTTTTATACTGCCGGTGAGCGGAGCCGTTTGTATGGCGCTGTTGTTCGCTTTGGCAGAAAATTTTCGCAGTGGGCCCTGTGTGTCCGGGGAAGTGGGCTTCAAAAGCATCACCAGATTGGAAGTTTCTACCATCATGAGATTCGTGGAAATCATACAGGGCCGGGATAGATAAATACGATAAGTTAGCGCGCTATAGAAGTAGGGTGTTTGAGTGTTTGTACTGGTCTTGGAACTTGGAGATGTCAGTGACTTCGCAGTTACAGACCCTTAGCAACACTTGGCCGCTGTGTAGGTTTCCCAGTGTGTTGTTTGTCAGGGCTCTTAGCTTGATGTGGCCAATGAGCACTAGGGATTGTAGCTGGGGCAGCTCATTGCCCACTATGGAGCATGATGTTGACACGGAGGAGTTCAGGAACGATCTCTTGATGGATTCCTCCTCGCCCTGGATGTCAACCAGGTTCAGGTCGAATGCCTCGATGTGCTTATTGCTGACCTCCATTATTCTCAGCAGCCTTAGCCGTGGGGCCACGATGCTCTTGAACGTAGACACGTTACAGTTTTTCATCACCAGGGACTCGAGGCGTGTGAGCTTGAGGTTCTGCACTATCTCCAGCCCGTCAAAGTAGAACTCGTTCTCGTCCAGGTCGGAGTTATGGTCGTAGTCGTCATAGTCGTCGTCATAGTCATCGTCGTATCCATTCTTACGCACGTAGTTGTTACTGTGCATCGAATAGACATCCTCTTCCTCGTTCATGTAGTCCTGTAATTTCAGCTGGGTCAGTTGCGGAAGCGTTGTCGGGTGCCTGTCGAGGTTCAGGTAGCCCAGCACCTCTGAATAGAACTTCGACGAGCAATAGTATAGGTTCATCGTGCGGAGTTGTGTGTACTCGACGACGTCGTTCATCAACAGATGGTTGCCGTTTGTCTTCAGCTCCCTCAGCCTGGGGAACCTAACGCGGTACTGCTCCGGCCTTGGCTTATCATGGAACAAGTACTTCAGCATCTTGAGGTGCGTCACGTTGATCTCTTCAACATCGTACACTATCTCTACATGCCTTGCCCTGTCCTTCAACAATCTCGACAACACCCTGTACAGAGTCATATAGTCCTTATCATCATCCACTCTCGTGATGTGGAAGGTGAAGAAGCGGTATCTGTTGAACAGCGGCTCCAGGTGAAGATTCAGCTTCTGTATCTCGGATAAACTCACAGTGTTCAGCCATTTAGAAGGCTCTAGATCGTTTATGTTGAGCGTTATCAACTTCTTCAACTGGGGAACCTGAGCTACTGATCGTGTGATTGTGTCAATGTCGGTGTACGACAACACCGTCGTGAGAATCTCCGGGGGTAGATAGTGGCAGTTTGTCATGTCCACTCGCCTCCTGTAGCCTGTGACCATTAACCAGCGTACGATGGAGACGTTGAAACGGGAAAAGGGTGTGTTTATAAGTTTTGTCTGATGGAGTCAGTTGTAAGGTGCAATTTTGGTGGGGAGGGAAAGTGGGCGGAAGCCGAAGTCCGGACGGGAAAATGGAAATGGTTTGTAGCCCCGTCCGCGTAGCTCCCCTTTCCATCTTTATGGGCCATTTGGCCTTATCAGTTTGGTGCTTTTTCCCCTGTTATGGTTGTACAAGGCATCAGCGAACGCGAGACAGGGATGCTGTCCGAGGAAGAGATCGATACACTAAGAAACAAGTCAATTGAATCACTCTCAATGAGCTATTCACCTTACTCCAAGTTCAGGTATGGTTTGCTCTCCATGGACATCGACACTTGAATATTAGGCCTAACACTGTCCCCTCTAGAGTCGGATGTGCTATCTTAACAGAGTCCGGGGCTATAGTACAAGGTGCGAACGTTGAGAATGCATCGTATGGTATGTACACTGTGTGATCCTTCGCCTTGTGGATACTAATGTGATCGTTCATCTAGGTGCTGGTGTATGTGCTGAAAGGGCAACCATATGCACCGCAGTGAACCAAGGACATACAAGATTCAAGGCAATTGCCATTGCAAGTGACCTGAAGGACGAGTTTATAACACCGTGCGGTATATGTCGCCAGTTCATCAGAGAATTCGGTAAAGATACTCCGATCTATATGTTCAAGAACGGCGTGGAGGGGACATTCCATATGACCTTATCTCAGTTACTACCACACAGTTTTGGACCAGAGCAGCTGAACTGAAGCTCGAAGCATCGTATATATACTGGCATCATCCTAGACATTGCATTATATATCCCTTCCATACAGAGAACCATTACAGATTAGTAGAGTGGCCTTTCATATTTACCGGTTAGTAGTGGTGAAAATCCTCGGAGTTGGAGGGAGAGCAGAAAAGTTTTTTTCTCGCTTTAGGCTTGGATTTCGCTCTCTTCACTATACTAACGACATAATTAACTTACAAGTTAGAGTGTCGAATCCCTGGAAACCAAAGAAAAATGACTACTTGTTCTGCTCCTGATTGTGGTAAAGAGACCAGCTCTTTGTTGAAGTGTCCCATCTGTCTTAAACAGGGACTTACCTCGGTGTTTTGTGATCAACAGTGTTTCAAGAGAAGCTATGCAATGCACAAGGCTCTGCACCAGAAGCCAGGTGTGGATTCGTACGATCCGTTCCCAAACTTCCCATTCACAGGTGACTTGAGACCGGCATATCCGTTGAGTGCCCGCCGTGAAGTCCCAGACACCGTGGTGTTGCCAGATTACGCTGCTGATGGTAAGCCAACGTCGGAGATCTTGAACGATAGAACAACAAAGATCCCGATCTATACGGAGGATGAGTTGAAGATCATCAAGCAAGTTGCCGAGTATGGTAGAGAGATCTTGGACGCTGCTGCTGCTCTTGTGAAACCAGGCATCACCACTGACGAGATTGACCAGGTTGTTCACGATGAAACGATAAAGAGAAACTCCTACCCATCTCCTTTGAACTACTACAACTTCCCAAAGAGTGTGTGTACCTCTGTGAACGAAGTCATCTGTCACGGTATCCCGGATAAGAGACCTTTGAAGGATGGCGACATCGTCAACATTGATATCTCTGTTTACTTCAACGGGTACCATGCAGATTTGAACGAGACGTACTACGTCGGTACACCATCTAAGGATGCAATCAATGTTGTTGAAACTGCAAGAGAATGTCTGGACAATGCCATTGCGGCTTGTAAGCCAGGCGTTGCCTTCAGATCCCTAGGTGATATCATTGAAAAGCATGCAAAGCAAAACGGGTGTTCTGTCGTCAGATCCTTCTGCGGCCACGGTGTTGGTAAATTCTTCCACTGTGCTCCACAGGTGGCTCACTATGCAAGAAACAAATCGCCAGGTATTATGAAGCCAGGTATGGTGTTCACTATTGAGCCAATGATCAACCTGGGTACTTGGAGAGATACAACATGGCCCGACGATTGGACTGCAACAACTGCCGATGGCCAATTAAGTGCTCAGTTCGAGCACGAACTGCTCATAACAGAAAAGGGATGCGAAGTTTTGAGTGCTAGAAAGCCTACAAGTCCAGGTGGTCCAGTTAAAAGAAAGTAGACCTTGTATATAGTACACTTCACAGCTCCAGTCATTTACAACCTGAAAGTTGTCATGAGCGAGCTACCTCCCATTCTCCCTTATCGGGTGATCAAATACACGGTTATCTGCCAATTCCTCTGTAGCTCCACCTTGATGAATGCTTCTGTCGACTTGATCTTGTACCAAGTCTACCAATCATTTGGTATTGCCATGTATTGATATATATATATGGCCAAAGATTACATAATCTGTTAGTCAGCAAGCTCATCTAGAAAAAAAAAACAATCCGTCGAACAGGGCGGCAAAAAAAAACAAAAACATCACGAACACAAAAGCAAAGGCAAAGGAAGAAGAGGTTTCTTTATCCTAAACAAGGTGGGATTTTTCATTGGTGATGTCTTCTTTACAACTGCTGAATCCAAAGGCAGAGTCGCTCAGACGCTCTGCTGCTTTGCAAGTGAACATTGCCGCGGCACAAGGCTTACAGCAGGTGTTGGAGACCAACCTGGGCCCAAAGGGTACGCTCAAGATGCTTGTTGATGGTGCTGGTAATATCAAGCTGACCAAGGACGGTAAGGTGTTGTTGAGTGAGATGCAGATCCAGAACCCGACTGCTGTTATGATTGCAAGAGCTGCTGCTGCACAGGATGAGATCACGGGTGACGGTACTACTTCTGTTGTTTTACTCGTTGGTGAGCTGTTGAAACAAGCTGAAAGATTCACATCTGAAGGTGTTCATCCACGTATCATCACTGATGGGTTTGAAATCGCAAGAAGAGAGACCTTGAAGTTTCTCGATGGGTACAAGATATCTAAGGAGCTTGATAGAGAGTTATTATCACAGGTTGCCAGATCATCTTTGTCCACCAAGGTCCCACATGAAGTTTCCGAGACACTGGTTCCAATAGTTACCGATGCCGTGCTCAGTGTCAAGGATGAAAGAGGATTAGACTTGCACATGATTGAGATTATGCAAATGCAGCATGGATCTCCAAGAGAGTCCGAACTCATCAAAGGTTTGGTGCTCGATCACGGTGGTCGTCATCCGGATATGCCAAAGGTTGTTAACAATGCATACGTATTGATTCTAAACGTTTCCTTGGAGTACGAAAAGACAGAAGTGAACTCTGGATTCTACTACAGCTCTGCAGAACAGAGGGATAAACTTGTTCAAAGTGAAAGAAAGTTTGTCGATGAAAAGTTGAAAAAGATTGTTGATTTGAAGAATGAGGTCTGTGGTTTGGACTCTGATAAGGGCTTCGTGATCATAAACCAGAAGGGTATTGATCCCATGTCGCTAGATGTGTTAGCCAAGCACAATATTTTGGCATTGAGAAGAGCAAAGAGAAGAAACATGGAGAGATTGCAACTGGTTACAGGCGGTGAAGCTCAAAATTCGGTTGACGATTTGTCCCCAAAGGTTCTCGGGTTCTCGGGTAAGGTCTATGAGGAGACGTTGGGTGAGGACAAGTTCACCTTTGTTACGGAAAACAAGGACCCAAAATCTTGTACAGTTCTCATTAAGGGTCCATCCATGCACATCTTGAACCAAACCAAGGATGCTGTACGTGACGGGTTAAGAGCCGTTGCGAATGTGATCAAGGATGACAGTGTTGTTCCAGGTGCTGGTGCTTTCTTCATTGCTGCATCTGACCATTTGACCAAGAACATTTCTTCTTTGTCGAAGGGGAGAACGAAAACTGGTATCCAGGCATTTGCAGAGGCCCTCCTGGTAATCCCAAAGACACTCGTTAAAAACTCTGGATTTGACGCCTTGGATGTCGTTTCAACCTGTCAAGACGAGTTGGAAGAGGGTCGTGTCATTGGTATCGATCTTAACGCCGGTGACTCATGCGATCCAACCATTGAAGGTGTTTGGGACTCTTTCCGTGTCTTGAGAAATGCAATCACATCTGCCGTCGGTATCTCCTCGAATCTCCTCTTGTGTGATGAATTACTCAAGGCTGGCCGTTCAAGCTTGAAGGAAGGTGCCGGTGCTCCAGGACCACAGATGTAAAAGGGAATAGGTCTATATAGAACTAAATCCAGGTTGTACAATCCCACTACCAGCTCCAAACACCTTGTAGGTAGGTGATTCTTGGTGTATGTCTCACTGGCTCGGCTATCAGTTATCAGCTACGCGAATACTGACACCACACGCTCTTCGCCGAAATCACATTCGCATTTTGGTCCACTTCAGCAGCAACCCTTCTATCATCTCCTTGCTGTGACGGTATCCGTAATGTTACACCATATTAACTGTAGATGCTTTCCTCCTCTGACAATGACGTAGTGCTACTGTCGTTTGCCCACCGTAATACTCGTACCTAATGGCTACAACGTATGAGAACTGAATAACTTCATGTAGCACGAGTGTCTTGATTACATCACTGGCAACGGGGCTAGATTGCCATTTACAGAGCCCCCATCGGTGTGAATTCAACCAGCGCCTGCCACAGCGCTGAGGTAATCAAATCCACTGCAGGAAACAAACAAGCAAAAAAGAAGCCGCAACAGCTATGACGAACTTCCACTTCTCAAAAGCTACAAATCACCGCTTATAAAAGTACTGCCTTCCTCAAATCCCGGGATCTCTTGCTGACATATCAATTTGGCAAGCTGAAAAGCTCAGAAGATATTGGAGTGAGGCTGTGCGTTGCATCTGCAAGCGAGTTATGTAGCACTTGAAACAGCAGTACAGAATTCATCATTTAGGCACACACAGGGCTACAGCGTTGATGCTCAATGAAAGCAAAAGGTTTGATTGCCGTATTCATTGCGACATTGGTCAACAGCCAAGCACGGTGTGCTGGCTGCTGGTTTAGGGTGCCATGTTCGTACTCTGTTTTGATCCGGTTCTGAAGGCAACGGGTACTTCTACCAGCGCATGGGATGCAGTATGTGATAAGTGCCGAAATGGACGTCTACCTCCGATTAACACATAGATTGTGAAACAATAAGACGCTAGTTGCCTTGGTATGTGCTCTTGGCAGATGAGTGGAGAAGTAACGGACAACGGAGTAAGTGACGATGTTAGTGGGTTACTCTGTGTATTAAACTGTGCCTATTACACTGGTTTGATCAGGCTCAATTCTGCGCAATGGGTGCAGTTTAATTGCAAGTCATGGTTTTCAACCCAACAAAGCACAAGCCATTCCTGTTCAACAAGATTGAAGAATTATAGTAATGTCAAGCGGCTTGTACAACATGCTCGCCTGCAACGAACCACCATCTAGAAGGGCCTATTGTATATGATTCCGCATACGTGTATCGTATAGAGGCGAGAAAAGGGCTGTTGTATGCACACTGTGTTGTTTTTACTGTTGTTGCAGGTAATATTGAGTAGCAGCAGCTCAAGTAGCTAAGCTTTTTTGGTACTTTCCTATGAAAGATCAATTGATTGTCCATGTACTGTAGTAATTAAGCGTAGGTGATCTCTGCATTGCTTGACATTCGCTTCAGGTTTATGCGAGCAGTTCTTGGATATTGGGACCTTAGATCTTTTGAGTTTCCTCGCGAGAGCTCAAGATACGTAAGGTCTTATACTCTTGGTGCATTCCGGAGAATGATCTAGTCCAAATCCCCAATCTTCAAGTGTGTTTCGCCGATATAGATTTCAAAGGCTTCGGTGATCTCTGAGGCTGGAGCTCGTGTCGAAATAGCGTGATGTTGTCTAGTTTGAGAGAAGAAAATGTTTCCAAAGCTGAAAATATGATCTACTGTCATGCCCGTAACTTTACAAGACCAGTATCACATATGTAGGCTAGAATGTCAGTAAGCACTTGAAGCTGTGTCGCTTGATGGAATGATTGCTAATTTGTGCCCCTGGAATATATCTATAGGCCCCAAAACAACCTAACAGATACGTTGTGATTGAACAACTTCACTGCACTTTGGTTTCATTGCATTTTAACCCACCTCTAAGGTTTTATGAGGACCTTACAGTACTTGACGGTTGAGGCCATGCTCATGAGTGGTTTTCAAATTGGAGACTCCGTACATTTGCCACTCCTGCCTACGGTAGTGGCCTAGCCTTCTTTGTTCTGGCTGCAGAAGGCATCATTGATCGACAAGAGCGGGCCTCTCATAATTGAACATCACGATATTACCCTATCCCAGGTACTTGAACACGCTTGGTTGTTCCGGAACCTTGACTCTGAAACTCTCGTACATAGAAACAGCAATTGATACACACATAGGCTCTGGTGTACCTGATCATATGCGCTGCAATGAAGTGCAATGTTTTTCCATCACCATGCAAAGGTGTTCTGATTTTCAGCAGTTTGCTTGAATCAGCTACGTCAATAATTTTTTAAAGTTGTTTCTGAAGCTCGAATACAAGTGCATGTTAGAATTATCCATTCCCTCCGTCAAGTGATGCTAATTTTGGGTTCAACTGTTTCATGTTTGGGCTCTGGGTCTTGATGCACTAGGCAAAGGGTCCTAAGTTGTTGCTATAGGCCAGTTTCCGTGCTCACAGTCTGGTTCAACTTAGGAGGTCTGTCCATGGATGACTCAATCATCCTGTGCTACTTTGGACTTTAGGGTCCTGAGACTGTTGTATGAACGTTGTGACTGGTGATAATTCAACCAACATTCATTCTGTGTGGGAGATAATCTGTGCCTTGTATTAATTTCTTCTTGAAAGGCGGACTAAACTTGATCAAATCTCATCTTATGCCCAGAGGGTAATGGACTGTAGAGAACAACTCATTTGACGTTTAAAAATCAACATACCTTATTACACCAGCATGATGTTCTCTCAAGGCTAGCTACAGATAACAAGAAAGACATGTAGCCATTGAAAGATTTACTACGCGCTGCTTCAAGTTCATTGTTCGGAATCTGTAAACGTTGATCAACCCAGCAAATCTAGCAGCCTGTCTAGCTGAAGCATACGTGCGCTCCATTTAATCATAATACTGTAAAGCTACTGCTTGCATCAACTGTCGTTCATCTACGGCCACGTTGTTAATATACGGTGAACTGTGAGAGGTAGCAACCATGAGATCATCAGAGACTAACAGGGGCAAAGGACATAGGCAAACCATAATCAGCCGATCCAGAGTCCCACCTAGTTGGGGTAATTCATAATCTTCTCCTGGTCAAGTCGACCCATCTGTTACTACGGCCGAGGCTAAGCATGAGTGTGAAGCCTCGGATGCAACGAAACCACTACAATAGAGGGGGCCTGGTGCGAGATCCATGACCTTATGGCAGCCTGCTCATACATTAGCCTACCAACGCAGACAAAAGTTGTGGTGTAAAAAATTAAAGTGAACACCCTCCAAGCTTCCAAAATTAATCTCCACCGGACGTAAAGTACATTATATGTGCGTCATTGGCCGCGCCTTTATGAACCACCAGGGATTGCTGTGGTGGAAGTGGAGGACATGCCTAGTGGCCGGGTCCTTGTAGGTATATCTGGCCTGTTAGCTCATGCAAGTAGAGCCGGTCAGCGCATGGTACTAGCCGGACTTGTCAGAGCTCGGCTCCTTATGCCAAATGGTTCATACGGGTTTAAGATTGTGCTTCTCCTCCAACTCTGGTCTATTTCTATCAGTGCTACCTGTAACACTGGTTTTGCCAATCATTTACGTGCTACGTCTCACTAAAAGGAATGGCACGGCGAACCCTTACACCTGGGCTCTTGTCCGGCTTTGAGAAATACACGACGCAGTACGAGTCCCATGGCCCCTCTATATCCCTATGTTTTTTTAATGTATTGAACGCTTCCATTTACAGGATACATCTATAGAGAATAGATGCAACGTACCATCTTAATCATCGCCTTGAGCCTTGTTTTTGGTTGGATTTACTCCCTCTATATCCAGTTACATTGGAATTCGACACGTATTTAGTACGTCTACTCAGTTAGCGTCAGTCAAATCTGCGGAATTCAGCTTTGACATCTCAGAAAACACCTTTGAAAACCGGACAACGTTCAATGAATGTGTGGCCAATGTGGCCAGTGTGCCGTAAAATTACATGGCAATCTGTACCATGTACGGCGTGCGTCCAATGTACATTCTAGAAGGCCAGACTCACTGGATTGCCCAATGCTAGTTGTCAACCTTTGTATATCTTGGATTCGACATGAACGCCGTTGCTCGTATGACCTGGATTATGGTCAGAGTTTCAGTTCTGGAGGTTCCGCGTAGATCTGAAGTGAGGTGAACTGTTGAAGTAAGTTTATAGGGTTGTACATGAATAACGTCTGTATATTAGAGTTAATTCTAACGCTTAATTGTTTTCGGTGAATCGCCTTCATTTAGTTGATCTGTGCAGTTTGACGTTGAAGGAATGAGCAGCATAGAAAGCAACTGCAGTATCTACAGTGTAGACATTTTTTGCTGAACTCACACCGACATCCTCAGTTGTGGTGCTAAGTAGAAACAATTTCCTGAAAAGAAATGTGTCGAGTCTCAACTCAACGACGCACCTTAGTATTACACAGTGTTCAATTCTCAAAAGAAACAGGAAGGGGTTCTAAAACGCACATTGTACTACATTTGGGATTTGTACATGGTTTCACAGCACTGTGAACAAATGTGCAAGTTACCAGGGACTAACCACCGCACTATGAATGCCACGACAAGAGTATTGTTATGAGCCACACAACAACTTGTCCTAAGCGACAAACAATTGCCCTTTTTAGAAAGAACGCACCGCAAACTGCGTTTATAAACATAGACCAGCCAGATGGTATTTATTCCATATAGTCGATCAATTATGTTCTTCGGCGAGGCTTTGAAGTGGTTCGATCTTTCGGAGACATATTCCATGTCTCTGACATGGATCACCGTTTGGGCCGTTAATAATTCCCGACCTCCTTCAAGCACCACTGTTTCAGCATTGGGCATGATTGCTGGGTCTTGAAAGTCCGTTGTGAAAACGTTGGCAATACTGTCTGTGCTGAACAGCAACTAGTTATATCACAATCCAGGCGCATGTTAACAATTATGTCCATGTAAAGTTAGGCTGACAATTTGACAACTGTAAGACATTCTCCAGGCAGAAAAAAGCGCAAAATTCACAAGCTTGCGGACAAAAGGTTTTCGAAAGTGAATTTGGCATCTCAAGTCCTAAATTTGGATACACCGAAAATGGCGATGATGGTTTGCCGTTTATCTCCGTGTCTATACATCGGTAGGAGTTTCTCCGGTCGGCCAAATATGATAGAACTTGTGAACTTCAAGTTGCTGTCGGTGACTTTGATTGTTTTTCGAAGGCTGAGGGCATAATTCAAGCAACAGATCACTCGTACATCTGGAAGATATACACCGCCTGGTGGCTCAAACTGTGGAAAGCGCCAACGGTAAACTTCTACGCTTGTATCGCGGAAGTTAGCTTCGTGACGACTGAAAGCCATCGTGCTTACGCGGTAAGGTTAATTCCACGTTTGCTTCAAGGTTGGTTTTAACATCATCTGTCATTGATTGAAACTCATCAGTAAAGTCGGCGTGTTGATTTTCCAATTACGTCCTACCATTACGTATTCGCAAGACATCATTAAGCATTCATCTTACGATTTTGAATAGGCTATTCACTCGTTTCAGGACTCATGTGTCTTGACAAACGTACGATAGGATGATATTTGGACCCCATCTAGCGCTTATCATTTTGGCGTTAACACGAACCACAGGGTCTTCGTCGCGTATATGAATCAAACTAGAATTAGGTTTTACAAGTCGGGACTTAACCACTTGAATTGATCAGCAGACATACTAATAACAAAGTGGCCAACCGTTTGAAACCTCATCGCACATATTATATTAGTCCTACCCCGTTCACTAAGGTGTGGGCTGTCGTAGGACCTACCAATATTTTTTCAGTCGCAAATTAATTTACACAGAGCGAGGGACAGTTAGAGTTTCCGACGTGTCTAACGGCACTCAACGTCTTCAACTGCGAGAAGCAATCATCAGTTGGTTACAGGTATTCCAAATCTTCCAAGCTAAACCGATGATAGGGTTCTTCTGTATTTATTCAGTGTGGTCATGGAGACCTCGTGAACCACACGACGTCTCGGTGCGAAAGAGATCTTACAGTCCATACACTACCACCAATGATCGGCCATATGGAATCTATAGATACATATGTATAACACCGTCGTCTTGCTCAGATATGGAGAGATCTTCGAATTCCCTGTAACGCTAATTATCATAGAGGATGTTATCAAAGCAACGTTGCGAAAAGCGCCGTATAAAGTGATACAATCTTTAACCCACAAAAAATAGTCTATCTGCACCTTCAGATATGTCCTTGCATTGTGACAATTTTGTAAATGACCCGGCCGACCTGTCGAACTGAATGCAAAAGCGTTACTTGCTGTTTGTACAAAGTTAACTCGGCATGATATACGGCGGAGGATGTTTTCCTTGTGGATTATAAGCGCATTGACGTCTAGAAGTGTCCTGAAATGTGAGGTTTTTTTCAAACCTTCCTGAGACCTGAACTTTATTCCTCCGAGAGAAGCGTAATGTAATGCAACATTGTTGTGAGCATCTTGAAGTGCATCATGCACTATGATTCCACCCCTTTTTACTTTCTTGAGCTTGTAGGCCTGTGCATTTGCATTCTGCAACCAGTATCGTAGTGCAACGTATGAGTTGAGTTTGTATTCGCTTCCAACAACAGGTAAAGAGGGCGACTTAGCGAGAGTTACAACCTACATATATCTCAACAGGTACATATGCGAACATGAAGAGCAAATCATGGTATTCGAGTGCATTTGCGATATACTTCTTACATATATAAGAGTGCCCACTTGTCTTCCTTGGATGATTTCCCTCTTGTCTGCTTTTGCAAAGATTTTTGATTCTGTTCCTTTGAAGCATCACGTTTAAAACACTTCTATTCAGATCTATCAAAGCCTGTTGTCTTGGTATAAGAGATTCTGCGTTGAAGAAGAGCTGGTTACGAGTGTATTAAACGTCACATCCGCTTTAGAGAAAATAACACTAGTGCTGCCCACAATACTAAGTTGGGAGATACTAAGATAGATACCATCAATTCAAGTTACAAATCACTGTGTCACGCCCACGTTTGAATACATCATAATGGAAAATATTAACTATCAGAGATTCCTATCACAAGAAGCCACGATTTCATCAAGCAATCAAAATGAATCATGTCAGCAACGCCAGCAGCGTCAACTACAGCTCCAGAGCCATGTTTCCCCTCTTCATAGTCCAACCACGGGTTACTATGAGAGTACAAATATGAATTCCAATTACCCTTTACAAGGAGAACAAGCAACCCCTGCGGGCTGGCTCCAACCCGGATTTCCAACAAACTGTGGTTCCTCCACCATGGACTTCCCGCCCTTCGGTGTTGAGAACGCCACGGCTAGTACAAAACACGAGGAACACAACCAATATCCTCCTCACTCACATAACTCCCAATCTCCAGTGACATCTGTATCGCCTTCGAGTCCGGATTATACCTGTTTCTCAAAGAACCCATCGGTATCATCGACTCTGTCTGGTCATTCCGACTCTCCGGACTATACGTATTCCAAACAGTTTGCAGAGAAAAAAAATGACACACTAGGCAATGGGAAGGTGAAGAGAAGAAGTCGTATGGGATGTCTCACCTGCCGTCACAGAAAGAAACGTTGTTGTGAAACGAGACCTCGTTGTGTAGAATGTGCGAGATTGGGGCTCAAATGCACTTGGCCAACACCAGGAAGTGAATACAGAAACAAGCCAAAACACGTTAGAATCAGTGACGGCATGCACTACGATCCGGTCTTCGGAAGTATAAAGATCCTCAGAGGTATCGTCGAGTACAGAGCCGTCAATGGCACTTCTGATGATTAAACGAAATACCATTGTACCTGTGGCGTTTTAGATCTGACATGCACAATATCTCACAGGTACATGAAGCACCCTTGCGGTCAAAGTGGTACTTCAAGGACGGGTCTCTGGTTCGCGCGCGTCCCCGTCAGTACTATCATTTGAGGCATGGTGAAAAACGAGGTTTCTGGATAAAGTTCTATTTTGATTGTTGTATATCTACGATTGGTTGTTGTTGTTACTGTATATTTGCCCACTTTTTCGGGTTGATAAATGCTAATATGATGAGTTTTATGGGTTTGTTTGTTCTTTTAGCAATGTTATGAACGTGTAGCTGTTTTATGCGTGCTAGCGACTAGCTGTACAGCTCTGTATAATTGTGTGTGCCTATATGGGCATCAGGTTTGACATGTTCTATTTGTTGTCCGTACCGATTACGGTGATAATCCTTTTTCGCGAACTCGTTTGTGTGTGTGTGTTTTTTTTTCTTCGTTGTTCTTCGCCCTTCGAGAGATGCCACAGAAATCTGTAGCTTTGATTCCTTTGCAAAAGATCAACAAACAAACAAAGCAAGAAGCTAACCAAACCTTGTGCATCTACCTACCATTGAAGCCATCGCATACCCTCTTTTCTCGCCTACTGCTTGTGTACACATACCGCTATATACATTTCCACTACGGCAGTTTCCGGGTTGTTGTTCTTGCTGTTGACATTGTTTTGACAAGGCGGTGTTCGATAAGTCAACTCATTCCAGATGAAACCATCGCGTAAGTTGACGCTGATCGTTGTATCGCTATTATCAGTGGTGCTGGCATTGTTCTCGCCCGGATGGCTACTCTCTATCTCACAACGGACCGATGATCAAGGAGAAATACCCAAGATTCACGAAAGAGAAACACAGGAAGAAGTCATACAGCGGCAGAGCGAGAAGGAACTGCCCATTTTCGGAAGACCAATTCACGATTTCCATCTTTCAGAGACGCTCATTGCCACAGACATAGAGGGAGGTATACATGCACTGGACAGATCCACTGGAGAGATCAAATGGTCGCTTGAGGTTGAAGAGCCGCTGGTATCGGTCGAAACAAACTATTCCTCGAGTGATGAAAATGAGTCCGATGACTCGATAGTTTGGATCGTTGAACCGTACGGGGATGGTAATCTTTACATGTTCAACAAGGAAATTGGGCTCAACAAGCTGCCTGTGTCAATAAGCCATCTTGTTCTGAAAAGTCCATTTGCCTTGAACGGAGACGACAAGGTCTATACAGGGCTTAGAAAGTCATCGTTGTACACAATTGATATTTCAACAGGCGAAGTGGTCTCCACTTATGGCTCTTGCAGCCCACAATTGGATGTTTGTTCACCCGACACGTCGCATAATTCGAACAGTTTTGTTCTTGGAAAGACAACATTCGAACTCACAATACATTCAAAGGATAACACTTTTTGGAACGTCACTTACTCGACATGGGGACCAAATAACATAGATATTGACCTTGCTATGCAGAACAAGATACCTATAGATGGAACATACATTGCCCCTTTCCACGATAGCACTCTATTGGCGATCGACATACATTCTAAAGTCGCTAAATGGGTCAGCCAATTATCCTACAATATTGTCAACGTATTCGATATACTGCATGACTTTAACGATGCCTTCGAAAACCCATACATTATCGTTCCACATCCACTAAAGCCACCAGCAGGCTTCACAGAACTTAAAAATGAAGGAGTATACCTCGATATGACACAGAATGGTTCGTGGTACGCGATGTCTTCGGAATACTACCCTTCCTTGGTACACTCTGCACCAACTTCAAGGTACTCGTTGAGTGAGCGTTGGAGATCACCACATGTTCTCAATTCAAAACATCACTTTAACTCGGCAATTATTGGTGTTCATCTCCCAACTGATGCAGAACACAACGTTGCATCAACGGTAGCTATTGCTGGTTACCCGACAGATTTCCCCCAACAATACCCAAAAGTGGAACACAATACAGATGCTACAAGAACTAATGAACTGGGTGTTTATTCCCCATCATCAAAATGGATGGGTCTCCCTTCACCATCTATATCATTGCTTCAAATTGGACCTTCTCCAAGGCATACTGCTGGATTCTTTGATACAGCTTTTGGAAACTTCCTCTACAGATGTCTTGAAAATATGTTGATGATTGCTCTGCTCATTTTATCGATATCAATTGCAGTTAGGTTGCATTGGTTACCCTCCCTAAATGTTCTCCTAAGAAACAATGGACTAGAACTTAAACAGCTTGAAGTCCCTATTGTTGATGAAGTAACATCTGCTCCTGAAGTGGAAGTTTTCCAGGGGGGTAATGAGAATACAAACTTAGTCGATGGATCAGATGAAGAATACACTAAACCAATCGACGAAAAGGACAAGGATGAATTGAAAATTTTAGAGTCCAATGAAAACGGTACTCTGTTATCGTCAACTATTCACACCAATGCGCAGGCGCAAGCTTTGGAAGAAGGCAAAATAAAGAAGGAGGTAACCATTGTCGAGCCACCAGTGGAAGATCTTGTGTCCCATGAAAATGGTGGCAGTGGGTTAAAGAAAAGGAAAAGAGGATCGAGAGGTGGAAAGAAGTCAAAGAAGAGTTCAGAGCTAAAAAGTACAGATCAGAACCTGCAACAACCAACAAAAGCCGAAGTTGACCTCCCCTCAAAGCCTGAAAATTCTCTACAGACAAAACGTGAAAACCAAACCGTGGTGCCTTCTCCACAAATGTCTGATAAATTGATACTCACTGACGAGGTGCTGGGATATGGTTCTTATGGTACAGTGGTGTTTAAAGGTGTATTTCAGGGTCGTGATGTTGCAGTCAAGAGAATGTTAATTGACTTCTATGATGTTGCATCTCGCGAGATTGGACTTTTAACAGAAAGTGATGATCATCCAAACGTTATAAGATATTTTTATAACGAAACCAACGACAAATTCTGGTTCATTGCGCTGGAACTATGTTCTGCAAGTTTGGAAGATGTCATCGAGAGAAGTATAGACTATCCAGGTCTTGTTAAGCTGATGAACCCTGTCAATGTGTTAGAGCAGGTTACTAATGGTGTTCATCACTTGCACTCATTGAAAATTGTGCATAGAGACATTAAACCACAAAACATTCTGGTTGCTCCTCCAAAGAAACTGAAGACGCGTCAAGAAGCATTTACACCTGTTAGGATTTTAATTTCCGATTTTGGTCTGTGTAAAAGACTCGAAGCTGATGAAAGTTCTTTCAGAGCAACCACTCAGCATGCTGCTGGTACTTCTGGATGGAGAGCCCCTGAGCTTTTGGTTGACGATACCAGTAATGGATACTCACTCTCAAGCGATCACTCTCATAACTCGCACAGGTCTATTTCGGAGCCAATTGTGTTTGACACTTTAACCAAAAGACGGTTGACAAGAGCGATTGATATATTTTCTCTTGGATGTGTTTTCTTTTACATATTGACAAACGGTGGACATCCCTTCGGTGATCGCTATATGAGAGAAGCCAATGTTATAAAGGGTGAGTACGATTTGAGTGCACTTGATTTCTTGCCTGACAACGTTTGCGAGGCGAAAGATCTCGTTTCTAAGATGATTTCGAGAGATCCCAATCTTAGACCAAGCACTGATGAAGTCCTTAAACACCCTTTTTTCTGGAACGATGCAAAGAAGCTTGACTTTCTTTTAAAAGTAAGTGACAGATTTGAAATCGAGAAAAGAGATCCACCTAGTGAGCTACTTCAGAAGTTAGAGGAAATCGCACCAGATGTTATTGCTGATGATTGGTGCTGTAAATTTGAAAAGTCCTTTATGGATAATCTCGGGAAATACAGGAAATATCATCCTGACAGGGTGATGGATCTGCTCAGAGCATTGAGAAACAAATATCATCACTTCAATGATCTGCCACCAGATCTGACGTTAAAAATGAGTCCACTTCCAGATGGATTCTATAGATATTTCAACACGAAGTTCCCAAATCTATTGATGGAAATTTATGGTGTCGTCGAAAGAAATCTAACTGACGACCACGTACTGACTAACTTTTTCTGAAGAGATTACTTTTACCATTGCATTTATTATATAGCCAAATGTGCTAAACACCCACATATTAATTTAACGATTTACGGTCATAACAGTACAACTTGTTGTATATATCTTCTCATAGGCAAAGCATTAAGTCGTATGTCTGGAAAGTTTTATCGAGTCAGAATCATAGAGGGTCCTGTCGTGAGTGGCTAATTGAGTAAGCACATCATCGTAATTAACAACCACACTTTAGATATTGCCAGATGATAATGCACAACGTCTCAATTGTGAATTCTAAAGAATTCGGCTTTCCAATGGTTATAGGTAGATATTGAACAGAGAGTTAAGTGTTCATTAACGCTTGTCCCTTGACAGAATTCGTTTGTCGTTCTTTGATAGGGTAAATTTCATAGTACATCACATCACAGTGAATGTATTTGAGAGTGAGAAGAAAACAGAAAAGAAGCAAAACCTTTCTCTACGGAACTCAACTGATACCGACAATTTATTCTTCGGCGTGTATTGCCGACTTTGAAACCTCATTTGCACTCGCCATTCGACCTACTAGAACAATGCACAATGCACTAGCGAGAAACCTCATTGGCTCTAAGTATAGAGAGCCAATGTATCCTCGATGTACTTCGTGTTATTGCAAATGCACAGACTGAATCACAGAATAACAAACACAGTTCCGTTCCGTTAACACCTCCATCCGCTATATATCACTCAGCGATGTACCAATCGGGAAGAAGCAGTGGACAAGAACGTGGTTCTGCTCACCAGGAGGAAAGGTTATATTTTCGCTCCACGGCCATGTTCTGCAAAAGAAAACTATGCTTCTTGTAACCTATCGAGTATATTCATTGGTACGATACTAAACTTTTCATACTCTGTCGCTAGTCCCCGTATTGCAGTTAGCATTGAATGTGAGACGAAGCACACCAAGTTATTGTTCGTAACTTCATAACCGAAGCGTGACTTATAACAGTTCCAGAGAAAGTAACCAACGTACTATGACATATGTGTGTCACCTTGTTACTTGCTAAGAGCTTTTCACGTGTATGAAACCTCTCATATCAAGATCCCACGCTGTACTTAGCTTTAAGACTGTTCTTGCATCTGCATGAAAGGTTTGCATCTTTATACTTCAACATCTCTGAGGGACAGGTAATGCAAAGGGAGCAATTACGATTGTCGAGATTGTTTCATAGATGAAGGACACGGCAACTCTGTTTTTTCCATAGCGATTTTGCAACCCTGATAGTTTCCTAGAACAGTTGGTATGTGATGGATACTGCTTGGACTTTGAAAGGCTCCCCTTGTAGAGTGGTTCATGGGTTCAGAGGTGATAACCTCCAGAATTCAGAAATGTTAAAGAAATTTAGCACCTCGCCCAAATCATCGTATTTTGAGCCGTTCAACCCATCGAAATGTGTCTGTATGTAAGAATAGTGCAAGTTGCAGACCGCAATAACATCAACAACGTCTTGTTAACTCTGCAAAAGTGCATGTCAATTGATGTCTGGGCAAAACACAAAATAACAAGAAAGGACCCACCACCATCTTTGAGAAACACAAACCAAGTGTTTGGTGATTGGTATACATCGAGATGTAGACAAAGTTAGAAAGTATAACTCCCAAGCACTGTCTTCAAGCTTTGCTTGACGATGAGATACACGAACATAATACTCAAGTTCATGTAGGACAGCTGACGTAAATCAAGATATCAGAGTGGAGAACACGGGTTATACCAATGCGTTCCCGTTCCCGTTGATACGTTTTAAGTGATTGTTATCCATCAGCTGTGTGTAGATCTCAGCAACTCCAGAAATGATACTGTGAAACAGTAGTGCGCATCTTTGGCTTGTCAGGCTCTAGGTGTGTAGTACAGTTGACCCAACGTGCCGACAGCGTTGGCTATGTGTTGTCCATTATTCAAACTTTTCACTTCTCTCAAGACTGGAGATACTGCTGCATCTGTCAGAGAGATTCAAGGAGGCTCGCTCTCTCGACACCACTGTATTTAGGATTAAAGTAGGCCTTATCTCCACACGATACTCTTGTAGATCCATAGAGATCTTCTCTGAAAGTGCCTCTGTAGCTGAACAAGGCTGTAACAGTTCACATCGATGCTCCACGCTGTAAAGCTTCTGGACGAGCCGGACAGATAGAGCAATGACTAATCACAGCATCAACTGGGGCGGAATACTTCCAACGCCTTTGTTTCCCTCCCTGTCCATCGCCTCAAAGACACAAGGCCCTGTCTCCGTTCCTGGACGTTCCGATTAGCCCACACTCTGCCTCTACTGTCCATGCTAATTACAGGTTTTCCCCCCTCCACGCGCCTTCTTCTCAGTTGAGTTAACACTTGATGCATCTAAGGATGAACTGCTTCGGTTCACATGAGCTCCACAGGCTGATTTGGCCACTGAGCCAAACCTAACGGAAAAAACGACACCTCTCCGTGTGTGTGTAGCATAGCTGAGCCATCAGCGTGTACTCAGCACCATTGTGTGTGTCTTGTTTCCCTTCATTGCCCGGGAAGTATACGTCGTCTTCGCTTTGATACCCAAAAGAGCTCAGCAAAGTAACAGAGAGCAAGTTAAGGTTTGAAAAGTAAACAAAGGGGGTTCGCAGGTGGCGGTGGCTGTTGGCGGCTTATATAAGCACACACGTGATCTGCTTACATAATCGGATTTTCTGTCCAGCTGTTCGTGTTTGCCTCCGCGGCTTTGTCTCTCGTCTTCCGCGAACTCGTTTTCTTTGTTTTGGTTCTTCACCCGAACGACAACAAACACCAACCAGTTCAATGTGTCTTGGGAGAAACCACGGAGAACATATCAACTGGAAAGCAGCTTCCAACCATGTCTCAGACACATTTGACACTAAGAGACAGGCAGACAGGTATGTGGGAACTTCTTGTGCCTTTTGGCCTTTCAAGCTGATGCGGTGGAGAGCTCAGGAGAAGGGGTAGTTAGTTACCGATATGACGAAGCAAACCAGGAAGTGGACTAACGCCTAAATACAGCCATTCTCGAGAAGATGCTCAACTTGAACATCAATGCTGAGAACTCAGACCTGACTGAGTCCTTGAACGGGGAAGAGATCATCTGGAAAGTGCTTGTTCTGGACTCGAAGAGCACAGCCATCATCTCCTCTGTCCTTAGAATGTCGGACCTCTTGAGATGTGGGATCACAATGCATACACATATCAACGCCAACAGATCGCCGTTACCTGATGTTCCTGTGATCTACTTTGTGGAGCCAACTCGTGCCAACATTGACCAAATTGCACAGGATTTGAAGGAGGACAAATATGCAAGTTTTTATATCAACTTCACATCCTCATTAAGCAGAGACCTTTTGGAGGATCTCGCTAAGAGCGTTGCCATGACTGGAAAGTCATCTAAAGTCATGCAAGTCTACGACCAGTACTTGAGTTATATTGTGACTGAGCCGTCTCTTTTCTCTCTGAAATTGCCAGATGTCTATGCACGTTTCGCATCTGCAAAGACTACGGAAGAGGAGATCAACAGCGCAGCAGACATCATTGCCAACGGCCTGTTTGACACTATTATCACCATGGGAAGTATTCCAATCATCCGCAGTCAAAGTGGTGGTCCTGCTCAGCTCGTTTCTGAGAAATTGGATCAGAAGTTGCGTGATTACGTCATTAGTACGAAGTACACCACAGGACCTGACTACTCTCAGAGACTGGTTTTAATCTTGTTTGATCGTAATATTGATTTGGCAGCAATGTTCTCGCATTCATGGATTTACCAATGCTTGGTGGCTGATGTCTTCAAACTAGAAAGCAATACCATCACCATTGAAACCGAAAAGGATGGTAAGAAGACCAAGACTCAGTATGATTTAGAACCAAAGGACTTCTTCTGGAATGCCAATGCACAGCTGCCATTCCCAGATGCTGTGGATAATGCGGATACCGAGTTGAAGAACTATAAAGAAAAGGCTGAAGAGTTGACTCGTGGTGCTGGTGCCCAAAATTTGGAAGACTTGGATAACCATAAGGATGACCTTTTACAACAAACTGTCAACCAATTACCAGAGCTCACTGCGCGTAAAAACATCATTGACATGCATATGAATGTGTTATTAGCATTGTTGAACGAGTTGAAGGCAAAAGGATTGGATTCTTTCTTTGAAATTGAGCAAAGTTTGAGTGATCCAAAATCGAGACAACGTTTCCTCGATGTTTTGAGAGACGACGGCAACACACACAACTTGGAAGACAAATTGAGAACTTTTATCGTTATGTACTTGACAACAGATCTCCCAAGTGACTACGTGTCATCTGTTGAAAGAGAATTTGCAAAGCATGAAGAATTCAACACCGCTGCACTGTCCCATATTAAGAAGCTCAAAGACTCCCTTCGTATACGTAATGCCATGGTTATGAATACATATACAAAGGATTCGTCCAATGGTTCATCTCAAGGAAACTCCGGTGCTCTATTGTCCAGTTTGAGTTCCAAATTGTACAACCTTGCTGACGGTAAGATCTCAGAAGGTGTGGGTTCTTTGATCTCCGGTGTCAAAAGACTCCTTCCAGAGAAGAAGGCCATGCCAATCACCAAACTTGTGGAAACTCTTATGGATCCAAACAACGCGACTGAAGAATCGTTGAAAGTCACAGACGATTACCTCTACTATGATCCAAAGGTGATTAGAGGTTCTCATTCGAGAAAGCCAAAGAGACAAACATATTTGGAAAGTGTTGTATTTGTCGTTGGAGGAGGTAACTACTTGGAATATCAAAACTTGCAAGAATGGGCACAGCAGAGCACCCAGCAAGGTAATTCTAAACAAGTTGTGTACGGAAGTGACGATATCTACTCTCCATCAAACTTCCTTAAGGAAATTACACTACTTGAATGAAGATCGTGACGTAATTTACATCCATTAAGTTTCTTCAATGTATAACACGTTTGTATTGTACTTTTCGTGCTCAGAGGAACCCTTCTGTGGTCTGTAAGACAGCTGCGCTTCTCTTTGCGTCCAAGAACAGGTCTTTGGCATCATCTATATCACTAGCCTGGATCTCGTTGTGACCCAAGGTCTTCGACAACACACCAGCTGGGCTGAGAAGCTGAATGGCATAACGTAGAGAAGTCTTACTACCTTCCAAGGCCAACTTATCCAGTGCTTCTTGTTCAATTGGCAAGTTTTCCACGCGTGCACGTTTTTCAATGATAATTTTGATCTCATCTGTGGAGTATGGTAGTGTACGGATGATCAAGAGACGATCGATGAGATCTGGTGGGATTCCATGTGGGGCCTTGATATCTTCTGTGCCTCTTACTGTGGTCATACCTCTGTTTGAAGCTAAAACGACAATTGGAGCAATTGTAGCCTCTAGAGCTCTGTTCAAATAGGTGAAAATTTCAATATCGAGCATATGAACTTCATCTATGAACAATACACCTGGTACTAATTCTGCAACACCTTGGTCGATGTATTTCTGCACGACTTTGTTCACCTCCTGGCGTAATTTCTCTGTAATTTCAGTCTTTTTAGGTTTGAGCAGCTGACCCATCATTGACAGGACATCTTGACCTCCTTGTGGGCGAGCATTGGCCACATCCAAGTCGTGGAGGGTGATATCCTGGACAATCTCCTTTTTCTTATGGACGTCACCCTTTGGCAATGGAACGTACTCCTCAGCCTCCAGGTCAAACTCTGTTGCATACGCGTCCGATCTACCAACACGCTTCACGGAGCCCGTATTGGCCTCGATGTATATCACATCACCGATGGTGACTTTCTCCTTCTGGATGGACTCGTAGATTGTAGGATCCAATCTCAAGGTCTTTGTCCCCTTTGCGGACTTCAACCCGACAATAACATGCGAAATGGTCTTGCCGTAGCCTCCCAGCGGGTTCTCAGCCTCCTCTGGTGTCAATTCCGTCACCTCACCTTCGTAAACCTCCTTGGTCTCCTTGATCCTCAACCCAATGGAGCGTCTGAAGTTCTCCATCAGCGCCTCGGTCTTCTTCACCTCAACAGAGTACAACTCAGACCCAACGATCGGAACAAAAGGCACCTTTGGGCCCAGCTCCTGCGAGATGGCCAACGCAATCGCTGTCTTACCGGTGGCTGGCCCACCGGCAAGCAGAATGGCCTTACCACTCATCTTCTTCGCCTTGATCAGGTCCACTATGACGCCGGCGGCTTCCCTCGCCTCTGTCTGGCCAACAAACCCAGAATCAACAGGTCTTGCCAGCCCACGCTCATCCAATCCGAGACCTTTGATGTGTGTGTGTGCAGCGGTTCTCGAGTCCCTCGTGTTGTTATCCTTCACTTCGCTAATTTGCACCATTGTTATCCCTTGCTTGAGTGCCAATCTGTAGTTGTTTTGTAGTTGTTTTGCAGTTTGTTTACTTGGCCCTCAACACCTGGCGGAAGAATTTTCTCCGCCGGGCCACAAAGACAAGCTCCGAGGTAACATCACGTGCGTCATCAAACACATTCACGTGACTATCACTTCCGAGGGATTGTTGTCAAAAAATGGATAATTGCCCAATCAGGCAAATTATAAACATTGCATTGCTTCTCTGTGCGTCGTCTCACCGAGGTTTTTTGCGTTTTCTCTCCCTTTGCACTTCCGAACAATTCCACCAGACAAACAGTGATCAAACTGCTCCCACCACCCCCTGGAAGGCACACACACAGTACGACGTTCACTGAAGAAGCACACGTACACCGCAGTAGGAAAAGAGAGGGAGATGAGTGACCTGTTGACACCGCCATCGTCGCAGAGCTATGCTGATGAGCCTGTGGAAGAGTGCGATGTTGAAGCAGTGCCAGTATCGCATAGCCACGGGCCCGAGACACAACAACAACAACAACAACAACAACAACAACAACCCCATTTGAGCTCTGATGACGACACCGCCGGCGCCAGCAAAGCCCTGAAAACAAAGAGGAAGCCAAAACTACAGTACAGGCCCGCAAACGGGACGATCTTGGAGCTCCAGTCGTATGACCATACAAGGTGTATATCGGAGCAGGACGACTTGGTTGATAACGAGGACGTCAGCTTCCTTCACTACGCTATAAAGCACTCAAAGAGGATGTGTGTGGTCACCGGTGCCGGGATATCTGTTGCGTCTGGTATTCCGGACTTCAGATCTTCCAATGGGTTGTTTCAAGGGCTGAAATCCGCAACGTCTGCGGGCTCCAACGGTAAGGCCTTGTTCGACTCGAGCGTATATAACGATGGTGAATCCACGGCGAAGTTCCACGCCATGGTCAACACGCTACACGAGATGACGTCGATGTCCAAGCCAACGGAATTCCACAGAATGATGGACCACGTATCTGAAGATGGCCGCTTGCTGAGACACTACACACAGAACATCGACTGTTTGGAGAATCAACTAGAGCACCTCAAAACAACGGTCCCCGTGAAGTCGAAACCACCATACCCACCAACCATCCAGCTCCATGGAACGATACGGCACATGTACTGTGCCAAATGCCGTTGGAACTCAGAGTTGGAGCCCCAGTTGTTCCAAGGCTCTGAGCCACCAGCTTGCCCCGAATGCCTTGAATTGGACGACATCAGAAGGGTAAATGGTAAGAGATCCACGGGTGTTGGATGCCTACGTCCTAGAATTGTCCTATACAATGAATTCCACCCAGACGGTGAGAACATCGGGAATATCTCACATTCAGACCTACGGTCTAAACCCGACTGCCTAATCATAGCTGGAACGTCGTTGAAGATTCCTGGCGTGAGAAGGTTGTGTAAGGAATTGGCAAAGGCTGTTCATGCCTCCAACGGTTGTGTTATATGGATAAACAGAGATCAACCTTCAGTGAGTGTCGTCGACTACCTCGAATTTATTGACCTAATCGTTATGGGAGACTGTGAAAATGTTCCAAAGGTTGTTGCCAATTATGATTCATATTCAAAGACTGCACAGTGCAAAAGATGGATAAACAGGAAAAGAAGAGAAAGACGCTCAAACGATGGTAAATCACAGGTGATTGACCTTGGAAAGACTACAAGGGTGGTGAAACCGAGAAGCGAAAAGGCCAAATACGAATCAACTCTGATACAAATGAGCCTGGATAGAATATGCTGTAACGTGAATAACTCTGTGTCGAGTTCGAACATTAATTAACGGAATAAACAACATTTTGTTCCACTCTCTCTTCCTTTTTTGTAGTTGCTGAACTAGTCCTCCTCTTCAAACTCAACCTCGTCATTAGGCTCTTTTGGTTCCTGGCCCTCGGCCCATTGAGTAACATCGTCTATATAACTCAAGATTGTTTGAATACTGTCTGAGTTCTTGGCCTCCAATGGCAGAAACTGAACCATCCCAAAATCATCAACCAAATGGGCAATACTCTCGTTCAACTTGGCGAAGCGTGGGTTTGTCTCTCTATTCACGTCCTCTAGAAGTAACAGCGGGTCAGGATTGAGGAACTTCTTGAGCTGTTTTTTTGAATACTCATCCTTGATGAGATCCAACTTGGATAGGATGTTGATATGAGGTAACTCCAGCAGAATCATGGCAGACATGGCACTCAACGCTCCACTGAAGAATTTCGACCGGTCTATTATGAACGGAGCCTCTAACAGATACGTTGCACACAAGTTGAAGTTCAACTGCTGTTGCAAATGTTTCACAATGGTTGGCAACACTGGAATATGGGTATACAGTTCGATCTGTCCAGGACAGTCAAAGATGAGGTATTCATCGTTATAGTCGCCGATTTCCTCATCTAGCCAGTCCAGATTTTGCAGCAGGTACTCGAAACAGTACACCAATCCACCATTAGGACCGAGCTCTAACTCCTCCATCACATCTTCAAGCGATATGAGGTCTCTAATATCAATCGTGAACTCATACTCCGATGGCTCAGCTGCGGGATCCAAATTGACAATGTGACAACGACGGCCCACAGATTGTAAATACGACACCATCGAATTGCAGAAAGTCGATTTACCAACACCGGCAGGACCTAAGACAAGTGTTCCAACTCTCGACATTGTGTGCTTATTATACTGTTGTACTGACGTGATGATTAACACTCGATGGTTGTAAGCGATGAGTTCCTGCCATAGAAATTTTTTTTGTTCGCTGCCACGGTTACAAGATCCATGTCACGTGACTGTTTCTTACTTTATACATATATATCTATCCAATGGGAGCACAACCACTCATCTGATTGTGTTGATAATGGAAGGTTTCAGCTGTTCCTGCACCAGCACGTGGACTTCTCGTTCTCCACTTGGATGATGGCGTAGACGTTGTTGTTTTCAAAGATCCTCTGGACCCGTTTCTTGATAATCGTAGAGTTCTCGCCCTCGGTGTATTGGATATGGATGTACCCAACTAGCGACGGGGCTACTGTTGGTTCGCACTGGGTGTTGGTGTCATGGGAGTGCTCGTGGGAGTGCTCGTGGGAGTGCTCATTGGAGTGGCTGGCATGATCATGGGAATGCGTCTCGTGCGACTGATTGACCTGAACACTCTGGGAAACACCAGAGGTCACCACCGTGGTTGTCTTAACATCCGAGGAGACAAAGAACCTCGGTGTTGTATAGCCAACCACGCCAGGTGTGTTGGAGATCTGACTCAGTATATCTCTCATGAGTTCTTCCTTCTTGTCCCCTAATGACAGCAACAGGTTCGACGCAGAGGAGCCAATCAAGGGTAACGCACTGAAGAAAATCATCACTGCGATGAACAAAGAGGCAATAGGATCGAATACGCTGGTATGGAAGATCGTTGTGAGTATAGTTGACGCAACAACACCTGCTGATCCAAGCGTATCAGCTAATATGTGCAAGAAGATACCCTTCATGTTTTCGTTTTCACCAGCGTCGTCTCCATGAGTGTGTGAATGACCGTGAGTGTGTGAGTGGTCATGGCTATGACCGTGTGAATGACCATGGTTGAAAGCAAATATACCAATGATATTCACCACAAACCCTAAGAATGAAACCACCAACAACTCACCGGTTTTCTCCAAAGTCACAGGGTGCACGATTCTCTGAGTAGCCTCAATAAAGATTCCAGCAACGATACCCACCAATAGAACACCATTGGCGAAGCCTGCAAGTGTTTCAATTCTTGCTAAACCAAAGGGGAATTTCTCACTAGCAGGTCTCTTTGCCAACACCCCTGCCACCAATCCGAGGGCTAACGAAGTGCAATCCAATGCCATGTGCAAAGAATCAGACAAGAGCCCCAATGATTTGGATCTAAACGAGTACAAGAACTGTACAAACATGAACAGTGTGTTTAGCAAAAGGTACGAGAATATCGCACGTGTATCCTCATGTTCAAACAACTCGCTTAGTATGCTCTTCTGTTCGAGACTCGGCGTCTGGATAGGCTCGTCAACCTCGACTGAGACAAGAGCACTGCACAGTGTGAGAACAATCCCTAGTCCAGCGTGTAGTCTATCTCTTCCAAAGTTTGTCTTGAACGAAAGCACCTCCAGCAATATGGCAATGATGCCAATCACGGTTGGAGAGCCTCTGGAGATCTTGAGATTTGTATATGAAACGTCCATCACGGTGACTTGGAGCACAACTCCACAGGCAACAGACACAATCAGCATGCTCGTATGAAGCGCATCGACACACCATATAATCAGTGCTAGATTCACTGCAAACAGCGTGTGTAGCGTCCAGCTTGGTGTTGTATACTTGAATCTCCAAACGTTGCGGATTCTGTCACGCATCGTATATAGCACCGCATAGCTGATCAACACGGTATAGAGCTCAATTTCCGACACCTTAGTAGGTAAGAGCACAAGTTTCCCGTGCTGGTACCTCGTTCCCAGGTCAAAGATCAGCGATATCAGAGGATAAGCCCAGCCGTCCGAGATCAGCAACACCGTGGTCAACACGCTCGTTCGTATACTGCCCAGGACGTGTGTGACTGCAAACACCATCAACAGGGTCCACAGCATGAAATGGGGACCCATTGGCTTCTTCGTGCTGGTGGCAGCAGCACCACCACCACCATTCGTCAAAGACGAATACGATATATGGCAGTAGAACAACGTCAGCGTCACGGAGAGCAGCACCGGCACCGCAACGTGGCACATCGCCAACGTGTACGTATCCTTTGAGTACGCAGTGTCATAGATCAAATTCGACGACAAAAGCAGCGTCGGATACGCCAAAAGCAGTGGAACCGTCTGTATGGATATGAGGTTCCGCAAGGGAGCATCCTCCTCCGTGCTCAAGGACATTTGATACGTGTCTTTCCTGTTCAGTTCCCCTGTGATGTTGTGCTCGCTGTCTGTGTGCTGGGCTCGCTGTGTTTGTTTTTCATTGGCGGCTCTGCCCAGCCCTGCCTAGTGCGGCCCTGCCTAGTGCGGCCCAGCCCAGCCCAGCTGCTAGGCGGAAACAGAGCTTTCACGGCGCAATGGTCACAAGAGGTTCCAACCACACTACATCACCAGCTGGCTTCCACCCCCGAAACAGTCGAGCTACACAACGGTGAAAGCGCTCGAACGAAGGTTGCTGGAGAGGTCATGGAGGAGAATGACAGGAAACCGTGGTTCATCCGGTTGGTTGAATGGCTAGTTACTTTCCCAGACGAGAGGCGGTCTCAGAATGGCGATGGCGATGGTGATGGTGATGATGGAAGAGACTACACAGATGTGCGTAGAAACTATCAGGTGTGGAATAGTAAATCGCAGGTGTTTGTGATGGGAGGACGGTTCAGAACGCTGAAGAGGTCTCTTCGAGGATGGATAACGTTTTCGTGCTGTATCATCCCCTTTGTTTTGTTTTGTATCTTTGAGTGAGTATGGGTTCCCGCGTTGCGTTGATCGTGACATTGCTCCCCGGTACTAACACTGTATAGAGCCTCCTGGTGGTGGCACAAGATCTCCCCTGGGGTTGTCATCACGTTTGTATACAGTTGGATTCTGTGTACTGCTTCGTTCATCAAAGCCTCGACGAGGGACCCAGGGTTTGTTCCGCATAACGTTCATCTGACAGAGGACCCGTATAACATTCCCGAGGAGTACCGTAACGTCATCTCACTACCCTGCTCCACGTCAAAGAAAGGTGTGCAAGTGAGGTACTGCTTAACTTGCCGGAGTTGGAGAATGCCCCGGACTTTCCACTGTTCAAAGTGTGACCAGTGTATCTCAATTCACGATCACCATTGTGTCTGGATAACAAACTGTGTCGGTGAGAGGAACTACGCGTACTTCTTTGCATTTCTGGTGTTTGCTGTGTTTTCTTCGACGTATTTGATCGTGTTGGAATACGTGCGTCTCTTTTACAACGACGATGTTGATACGACACTGAGCAACACTCCCGTGACGCTCTTAATATTAATCATGGCTCATATAACCATTCTGTATCCCCTATTGCTCCTGATACTCCACGTGTCGCTCATAGCTAAGGGACAAACCACGAGAGAATACTTGAGAACTTGGAAGATTCATCGGTACGATAACCCGTTCAGTATGGGTAACATCTTGAAGAACAGTGTCTACGCGTTGTGTAAACCACGTGGCTACAGTGCAGTGAGTAGTCGTGCACGCTATGAACCGGGAGATGTGAGGTTTAGGAGATTCGAGAGTTGAAATTCGACGTAGAGTGGCAACTCTCAGATCGTTATTTATTCAGCTGTTGATGTTGTTGTTGTTGATGTTGTTGTTGTTGTTTCTGGTAACCGTAGAAACAATCAAAAATAGTCACGTGTGCCGTCACGTGATACATGCATCCCCCACCCGCCTTCAAAGCTCACAGTTGGTTGCTACAGTTCCCATGAAAAACTCGGGGCCTCGGCTCCACAGAAACTCTCGAGACTTTTTTTTCTTTCTTTTTTTTTCTATTACTGAGTATTAAAGCGGATAATTTTCTTATGGCTTCTCCCTTTGCTTTCCTTTGTTCACACGATCGGTTTGTTAGGCTTACAAAGGGTCAATAGAAGCTGGTGAAAATAACAATGAAGCTGTTTGAAAATGATTGTCAATTCCACTATCCTTGGGACCAAGTCACTGCTGCCAACTGGCGTAAGTACCCCAATGAGATGAGTACCCACGTTGTTGCAGTTGACGTTTTAAGAAGGGAACTTGATCCGTCCAAGAGTGTTTTAACCACTGAAAGATTGATCACTTGCAAGCAAGGTATCCCGTCATGGCTGCAGTACATTGTTGGTGGCAAGAACGTTAGTTATGTGCGTGAGGTTAGCGTTGTTGATCTTAACAACCAAACGCTGACCATGAGAAGCGTCAATCTCACAATGTGCCACTTGTTGAAAGTATTCGAAACCGTCACATATACACCACATCCGAATGACCATAATATCACGATCTTCAACCAGGAGGCAAAGATCACAGCATACGGTGCGTTCCAGAGAGTGTGTAACAAAGTCGAAGACTGGTCGCTGGAGAGATTCCATCAGAATGCCCAGAAGGGTAAACAGGGCTTTGAAAACGTCTTAAAGGTTTTCAACGAGCAGTGGGATGAGTTGAGAGAGTTAAAGATTGTTGATAAAGTTGTCAAGAGTGTTGACACCTCCATTGACATCGTCAAGAATGAGATTGTCCACGAGACGGAGAAGTTGAAGAAGGAACTCGTCGACGAGTTGTCAGCGTCCATCGACGCTGAAAAGCTGAAAAACGAACTGTACAAGGAGACGGACAAGCTATTGGAGGATGCAGAGCTTGTGTCTAAATCTATTATTAACGAGTGTTACGATATGATTAAGAAGGCGTTCAAGAGGGATTAAATGACTACTATAACTATTGGGGATATCTGAGGAACTATATTGTGCTTTTTTTTTGGTTTTATAGCATACAGCAACATGGGAATGGAAACTTGTACATACTATCACAGTCCATACATTATAAACGATTATACAAGTGGTTTTTACCTGTAAATTGAAGAAGCCACACAGTTTATACACACGCTTCACCGTGGTAACCGTTGGCTTCGGCTATTAGTCCCGATTTGGGCAGCAGCTCCGGCAATAAGAAAAAGGCTCACACAACGCACTTCTTTGTCAATTAGCTATATCTCGTGGACGGTGGACACGTTGGCTAAACACCCTTTATTTCTGCTGATTTGTTGTCCATGCCCTCAGAGAGTGAAAGATTGATACCAGGGATTCGTAAGGATATCGTGCTAGACCCCTCGAGCGAGATCCCTGGGTTTATAGCCTCAGAATTGGAACAGAGAGAGCTGTTACAAGACAACACCTACACGGATTTGGAATGCACCAATAGTGTAGCAGATGGTGAGCCCGTGTCGTGGACCCGAACCAACGTTGTTGTCGGCTCGATGTCGCTGAGTATATTTCTTGCCGCTGTGGACTCGACCATTATAACCACGTTGATTGGTGATATGAGTGCAGAGTTTGACTCTCTGGATAAGCTCTCATGGATAGCGTCGTCGTATCTGTTGTCGAGTGCAACTTTCCAGCCCCTGTATGGCAAGATCAGCGATATATTTGGAAGACGAGCACTGCTGCTGTTGGCCAACGTGCTGTTCCTCGTTGGATGCTTGGTGTGTGCATTGGCGCCGAATGTGCTGGCTCTGATACTGGGCAGGTTTATAAGTGGCGTAGGCGGTGGTGGACTGACAACAATGACAAGCATCACCACCAGCGATCTGATCCCATTGAAGTCCAGGGGCATCTACCAGGGAATAAACAACCTGGCATTCGCTTCTGGTTCAGGGGTCGGGTCGCTAGTTGGGGGCTATTTTGTCTCAAATCGTATCCTAGGAGGCTGGAGAGGTGCTTTCCTAATGCAAGTACCCATCACTGTGCTGAGTACAGTTTCCATCCATATGTTGCTGAAACTTCCCAAGGGTTCTCCTGGATTGGGAGTTCATGGTGTTGATGTCATGAACAAATTGAGGCTGATAGATTGGTACGGTTCATTCACACTGGTCATCACACTGCTCTCCTTCTTGACGCTGACTTCATTGGAAACTGATAAGATCCTCACTGTTAAAGGCACATCACTTCTGTTGGTATTCATCACTTTCCTCGTCATTTTCATCATAGCTGAGAAGAGGGCCAAGTTCCCCATCTTACCACTGGAGTTCTTGAGGATCCGTACCGTCTTGGGTGCCTCTCTGTCAAACTTCTTCTTTTGCATGTCATCTTTCAACTCATATTTCATCATCACCATCTACTACACGGCCGTGATGAACCTAACGCCACAACAGGTTGGCTACAGGTTCGCACCTAACTTCTTCTCCATTGTGCTTGGATCTCTCGGAGCAGGCTACTACATGAGGTCCACCGGCAAGTACTACAAGCTACTGCTACTTTCAGGTCTTCTAGCGGTATTTGGTACATGGAGAATCGTCACTATTACCCCGGACTACCCTGTTTGGGCCCAATTCTTCCTACTGATCACACCAGGGTTTGGGATATCCGTCATCATCACTGCTACGCTGCTGGCTTTGATAGCTGCTGTGCCTCATGAGCACCAAGCAGCAACAACGTCGATCTCCTATCTGTTCAGATCATGTGGCTCCACCCTTGGTGTATCGTTTGGCTCCGCCATCTTCCAACACAGGCTGTACTCCTCGCTGCACCATAACGTTATGCAATTCCTGGGACACGGCCATGACGAACAAGAGCTGCTAGCGATCATCGCCAAAGCTTCACACAGCTCTGAGTACGTCCATGGTGATGCGCCTAGCTTCATCACAGATGCGCTGGTGCAGTCCTACGACACCAGTTGTAAACTGTCGTTCCAATTCTGTCTGCTATCGTGTGTCGCTGGGCTGCTGAGCATGCTGCTGATCAAGGAGTATGTGCTGCATGGCACATTGGACAGGAAATGACCTATCATAGCTATGGATACATATATATTGTGTATATCTATCTAAACACTGTGTATACCATGTGTCAGCCCTAGTGTTACCCTACCTCTGTGCTTACGTAATATGACGTCGACGTGCGCGTACCGCAGTTTTCCCCCCGTTCGTCGCCGGCCCCCCATCGAAGGACGAAAATTGCCACTTTTGAAACGTTTTCTCTTCCATCTCAGCAACTCTTCCTCCTCTCTCTTTCGATAGAACTACAATTCCAGTTGAGTTAATAACAAGATGTCTAAAGTTTTCTTTGAAGTCACCTCTGACGGTAAGTCTGTGTGCCGGTGAACGCTTCAATTGGCCGTGGTGATGCCCATTGGCCTGGGCTTGTTAGTGGGTTTCCGTCGCAGTGAAGCTCGAGGCTGCGGAGGGGGGCACCATGTGGTTGTGCTGTCCTTTTGGTGGCAATGCGCTCATACTGAGGAGGGTCAATTGCTTTCCCATGGCCAATTGAAGGTGTAATCCCTCGAGACTACAACATTGTACTAACTGGCGTCGACCTAGGTAAGCCACTCGGTAAGATCACCTTCCAATTGTACAACGATGTTGTCCCAAAGACTGCTGAGAACTTCAGAGCCTTGTGTACTGGTGAGAAGGGCTTTGGCTACAAGGGCTCTCCATTCCACAGAGTGATCCCAGACTTCATGTTGCAAGGTGGTGACTTCACCAGAGGTAACGGTACCGGTGGTAAGTCCATCTACGGCGAGAAGTTTGCCGACGAGAACTTTGCTAAGAGACACGACAGACCAGGTTTGTTGTCCATGGCCAACGCTGGTCCAAACACCAACGGCTCCCAGTTCTTCATCACCACCGTCCCATGCCCATGGTTGGATGGCAAGCACGTTGTCTTTGGTGAGGTTATTGACGGTCTTGACGTTGTCAAGAAGATTGAGTCTCTCGGTTCCCAATCCGGTGCCACCAAGACCAAGCTCATCGTCTCCGACTCTGGTGAGTTGTAAATGGCCCAACCTCTGTTATAAGAGAAGCTAGCGTTGTATATGGTCGTTCCCGAAATGGGTTAAAGTGTATATAAAGAATCAATTGATGCTGCCATACGCTTTATTTTCCCTTGTAGATGTGTAAGTACTTACAGCTGCTTGGTAGGGCTGCGTACGTACATCCGGGACTTTGATACCTTGCCGTTATTTCCTCCCAGAACTTGCACTGGAGTGTTTTCGTTTTCTGACTCTCCTCCTCTCGTCGTCATTGTCCCATGGAGGCCTCCTCCACTGTGAATAAGCAAGATGTCATTCTCGTTGTACGACATTCGTAAGAAGGCCCGTGCAGTGCAAAACTACCTGGTTTCTGACCCTCAGCCAGAGCTCACTGTTGTGAGACAGGCCACAACGACGGATCCTTGGGGGCCCACGGTGAAGGAGATGGACCAGGTGAAGGATCTGCTGATAAAGAGTGAGCCGGAGTTCGTCATCTCGCTGATAACCGATAGAATAGCGGAGTACGTACAGTCGTATGGAGGCGCAACACAGTCGAGCTACTACTCGCGGGCAGTGCACTACTTGAACATGGGCTCGGAGTGGAGAATCGTGTTCAAGTGTCTGAAGGTGCTGGAGTACCTGGTGATAACAGCAGATGACACTGTCGTGCCTGTGATAGGAGACCACATGTCGCTGCTCGAGGAGATTGGTAACTACGCTGTGGATGAGAGTGATGTCACGACCAAGGGTTTGCAAAAGAAGGAGCATCGGGAAATCCTGCGGAAGAAAAGAGATGAGCTGGTACGGTTACTGAAGGACCACGAGTTCAGAGACTCACAGAGATTGATATTCATGAAGTTACAGTCGCAAGAAGGTATAGAAAACGGGCCCATCGAGCCCAAGAAGAACTTTGATGATGACGTCCCCGGGTTCATGCAGGACTTCAAGGTGAAACAGATGGATCGTCACAAGATGGCGAATTCGAACCTGAAGAACGAGATCAGGACAGAATGGAGCCACATGGCTCGTCCCAAGGAGGTGCTACCGGGTGATTATGGGGTCATAGGGTCTGGCCAGGCCGGCGAGTCTCTATTCGATGAGGAGGAGCTCAACGACGTACAATACACTGATAGTCATCAAGAGTAGAGTTCTATTCCCAAGTTTATTTACTGTTATTGTGCTCCTTGTCCGGCTCAATCCTCAATTGTCAAGTCCTTGATGTTGATGTCGTCTTCGTCACCCGCAAGACCTCTCTCGAATATCTCCTTCCCTGTAAGTTTCCCTCCGTGGTATAGTTTCTTTCTCTCTTCAATTCTCTTGTCGATTCCCATCTCCTTCCTGAACTTTTCTCTCCACTCATTGAACGACTCCTTTGTAACTTTGGTACCGTAGAACTTTTTCTGCTCCTCACGCTCTTTGGCCAGGAGCTCCTCATCGTGCTTCTTCTGCCTCTGCTCGACCTTAGCCTCGAATGACTGTTCAGCAATGTCTTTCAAACTCGAGCAGAGAGCAAAGACGGATGGTATTCCAACCTGCTCCTCTGCCTCTTCGTTTAATTTGGCCAGGAACTCGTCCAGATCGGCCTGCTCAAAATCAACAATCTCTGCAACGATTACAGGCTTATGATGCGATGCGTCCTCCTCGTCCTCTTCATCCTCGTCCTCTTCGTACTCAACCTCCGGCTCTAATACTTCGTGGTCCAGTGAGAGCTCTGGAACACACTCTGGATACGTCTCAGGGTACGTTACATGAAGAATCAGCAGGTGGGTTCTCTCGCTGGCAGTTTCCAGCCTCAGAGTGATGTTGAAATGCGTATCGTCCACGGCTTCAAATTCATCCGGGTAGATCGATTGGAGGATCTCAACCTCCTGCTGTTGCTCCTCTTTGTAATCCATGGTGTACCACTTGACAGACAACGGGAACAATGGTAACAACTACGTAAACAACCACGTAAACCTCTCCAAAGGCAGCCCAAACCGGTTGAGATCATTGTGTTGGAACCCATTGGAAGAAGGAAGCGTGGGAAAAACTATCTGGTACGGGCCGCGGTGGTCACGTGATATGTGATTACATAATATCTTACATAATCGCTCATCAAATTTTTTTATATACGCACTCTGCTTCTCTGAAAGAGATGAGCTCTTCAGTCACAACTTGTTGATCTTTTACTCGGGTTTCTTGCCATAAGTTTCACTGTTGAGTCGCCACTGGAGACTGTGGAGCAAGGCATAAAGAGGCGGAAGGATGAATCTTGAAGAACTCACTGAGAAATGCCAGGATCTCATTGGCAAATCCGACTTCCAAGAAGCGTATAAGCTGCTCAAGAGAAACCAATCACCTTACCAAAGAGATGCTCAGTTCTTACAACTTTTCGGAGAAGTGTGCTTAGAATTGGGTAAAGTTGACAAGGCGTACGAGAAGTTCACGCAGGCGGTGGAATTGGACCCTGAAGGGTTACACGGTGGTGAGAAGTTTCTCTACCTGGGACAGATCATTGGGGGTGTTAAAGGTCTAGAACTCATAGATAGAGGTGTGTCCGTGTTATCGCAGGACTCGAAGGCCAACCTCAAGAGATTGACACAAGGCCTGTTTGCTGAAATCGAGATTTGGATGACTGATCTATGTATGCTGCCGGAGGCTGAATCCAAATGTGATGAGTTGATCACCCAATGTCTTGAGTTGGACTCAAATAACCCAGAGACCTGGAGTTTAATGGCTAACATCAGGATTTCACAACAGAGGGACGAAGAGGCCATTGAGGCTGTTAACAAGTCGTGGATCCTGTTCAAGTCTAAGAAGGAGGGTTTGGAGAAGGAGCCAGGCTTCAACGTTGAATATCTGGAGCTGGTTCAGCCTTTGATCTCACTTGCAAAGATCTCCATTGAACTGTCGCTGTTTGAGCTCACGATGGATGTACTCGCGTCCATACGTGACATCGATAGCGATAACGTTGAGAGTTACTACTTGGAAGGTTTTGCTAATTATCTGTACATTAAAAAGACCCAATATTTTAAGCAATTTGAATCGTTTGACGCCGATCAATTTGATCACTTCATCATCGATGGAGTTGAAGGTTTCGAAGAGAATGCCATCCTGGCCAAATTATCTCTTGAACAAGTGATGAAACTTTCACAGGTGCAGCAAGTTGATCCAGAGATGTTGCAACAGGCAACCGATCTGTTGGCGCATCTCTCTGGCGTGGAGCTGGCCCTTGAAGATGATTCAATTAATGATGACAACTGGGAGAACGAGATCGAGGAGTGATTCGCCTCGTTGTCATATTGATAAATCTTTTATTAAGTTTGTTCCATCCGTAGTTTGTAAATTGTCCGTTCCAATGTCTATAGTCGTTATGGTCGTATCGTCATCGTCCCTTGAAGTGTACCTCGGTACGCTTCCTTTCCCACTCTCTTCTCCAACCTCCTCGTCTTCCCAGTCACTCTCCCTCTCCGTCAGCTCTGCGTACATCTGTCTGGCCTCGCCCTCCGGCTCGCTCTCATCGCTCTTCCACTGCTGGCTCTTCCACTGCTGGCTCTTCCACTGCTGGCTCTCGGACTGCTGGCTCTCGGACTGCTGGCTCTCCAGCAGCTGGACATATTCCTCAGGCACCAGCCCAATCTCACCCTGGTCGTCCTCCGCAACGAGCCACCCCTGTCCATACCGATAGTTGATCCACACGATCTGGCCCATGGTGAGCCCAATCTCATTGTCGTTCTCAGGCGTAAAGTCGAACAGTGCAACGGCACTGCCCGCTATTTCACCATCCTCTTCACCAGTTTCATCCTCCCAGGGAGGCTCGTCCGCAGGCTCAAACGACGAATAGTGCAGCTCACAGTCGCTCGAGTAGGCAAAATCCCTTACCGATATGCTCATCTTGTTCGTGTCCTTCGTTCCACGCTCTCCAGGCCCTGTTTCCCTGTTAGTTGCTCGTCCTTTGTGTGTGTGTGCTTAATATAGGCACAGTACTAGGTTTTGTTTTTGTTTTTTTCCTGGCCTGCTTGCCTGGCTTGTCCTGCCTAAAAAACTCCCCGTCCCGCCTAGGGTGACCGCAAGCTGGAACGAGGAGCTGGGACTGGTGGACAGTGTACAGAGAACAGGGCCCGAGGGAGACGAGATGACGACCAACCACAAGCCAGCGCTGGAATCAAGACAAGGAAGAGATGTCCAGACGTCGATATTGCACTCGAGGGACCAGCCGTCTCATAAGCAGTTGAAGTACAGGGCCGGACGGCGTCATTTGGAGGAGTTGAAGGAGGAGCTGGGGGTGAAGAGACGGAGGGTGGAGGAGCTGGAGGAGAGGGAGGGCCGTGGTGACGGTGACGGTGACGGTGATGCTGACGGTGATGCTGACGGTGGTGCTGATGCTGATGCTGATGGTGACGGTGCCAGTGCCAGTGAAGCCAGTGACGGTGAGGCCAGCGATGCCCACGACTCCGATACTGACAGCGAAGACGAAGCTGAACTTATGAGAGAACTACAGAAGATCAAGCAAGAGAGGGAGGAACAGAGGAAGCTCGAGCAGATGGAAGCCAAGATGCAGCAGGAGAAGGCCAAACCTCGCAAAAGCTGGAGACAAGATACCATGTTCAAGGAAACGTCAAAGAAGAAGGACGGTGAGTACGTGAACGATCTACTACGGTCAGATGAACATCAGAAGTTTATGGACAAGTTCATAAGATGAAAAGATAGGCTGTATATGAATACGATGATGGTGGTAGTCGTAGTCGTAGTCGTAGTAGACGTAGTCGTAGTCGTCGTAGTCGTAGGCGTCGTAGTCGTAGTCGCACCAGCAGTGTGCCCCTGACCGATGAGTCCCTAGGCCCAAAGTCTCAAAATTTTATCATCACCAAATAGATGAAACAACTCTCCCCAGAAATCAACCATTATGGACACCACAGAGCTTCAACATGAGTTCTCCCTGTTGAGAATCCTGTACCATAGAAATAAGAACCAACACAGGGTAACGACTTGGTGGAAATGGCTGAACAGCTTGAAGAGAACGCTGACTAAGGTATTATGTCTCCCCGATAGACTAAGGCTACAACCACTGGTGAAGAAGCTGAAACTGCACATAATACCGGGGTGCTATAGGGCATTTAACAACATCATATCCCTGGGTCAGTTTGTCACACTTGGATTGGTCCTGCTGGGATTGCTGGCACGGATAAATAAGTGTATTGATGGTCTTGGGGTTGTGTATGAGACAAAGCCTGTCGTTTCAAAATTGGAGATTGTTCCTACAGATGATGACCTGGGCCAAGTTATTGAAACTGAAGAGCTGGATGTGGTGGCTGCAAAGGTTGTGCCCATTGAGCACAGGACGCAGAGAAAAGGGAGAGATAAAGAGAAGAAGAACAAGAAGAAGAAGAAAAGGTCAGCAATTGATGATATATTTGGTTAAATTCTATCATTTATATATGTGTATGTATATGTGTCCGCCTCGTCATTTCAAATACTTCTTTGCCCATGTTGGTAACACAAATGAACTCTTGTGAATATCTGCGTTGTAGTACTTGAACAGTTCGTCCTCATTGGGCATCGTTCTAGTTGGTGTTTTCAAATCAAGGGTCTCATCCTTTGAGCATATCATTAGCCCTAATTGTCCCGAAGTGTACGTTGGAACCATGGTATAGCAATACTCAACCACTGGGAACACCTGTTTCATCAACTCCTTAAGCCTTTGCAGTAATGATATCTTCAACCAGATGTTCTCTGAAGCCTGCATTATCACAATGCCTCTATCAGAGAGGCATTCGTGAAGTAACTGGAAGTAATTCTTCTCGTAGAAGACAGCTGCAGGGCCATCTGGGTCTGACGAGTCCGTGATGATAACGTCAAATCTCTTGCTATTCTCTTGGAGATATTTGAATCCATCGCACAGTTCCACCTTCACCCTTGGATCGTCAAATGACTTACTCATGTTAGGCAAGTACTTCTTACTCAGCTCGATCACAGTGGCATCAATCTCAACCAGGATTAGCTCCTCCACACCTGGATGCTTCAGCACTTCTCTCAAGACACCACCATCTCCGCCTCCTATGACCAGGACACGTTTAGGATCCGGGTGAGATAGCAATGGGATATGCGTGATCATCTCTTGGTACGCGAACTCATCACGCTCAGATACCTGGATAATGCCGTCAAGCACCAAAACGTTACCATAGTCTGTACTCTCAAACACTAGGATCTATAACACAGCACCTCCCATCCTGCGCTCCTCCGCAAGTCGAGGCCATCTGTTAGTAATGCACCACATCTCGAAATGTAACAAGTGTGTCACTCACATCCTGGAATGCTGATTTGCCCGTGTATAGGATCTTCTTCACGCGCAGTTCCAACGCCTGTCCTGGGAACGATTCATCGCTCACTTCTCTGAACCATCCGTTCGAGATTGTCGCGTGTGTGAGCTCTTGAGGGTCCATGCTTCTTCTTAATATCGTTACACGTGCACAACCACTGGGTCTATAGACCAAATATACCGACTTATATGGGCTTTTATCGAGTACTCAAAGTCACAAGACGTGAGACAGTGGAAAGTTTTTCGTATTAACTTTTTTTTCAAGGCTGCACTGATATAATCTCTGTTATAATTATGACGTAATCTCAGGACACAATATGATTCTACGGGCAATTCGATCTGGCGAGAACGAGATCGGTGGTCTGGTCCCAGTGATCACATGCGACAATGCTGAGTGATCCTGTTAGACTAAGACCATCACCGGTTTCACGGTCAAAACCCCATGGCCATATTATGCCTCGCCAATGGGTAGCCGTGGAAGATTACGTAAGCAGAGTGAAAAATTTCCCCTGTGTGTGCGATGCGATGAGCTTCCTCGAGAAATTTTTCACTTCTCCAATGCCTTTAATACCCGTGGTTTCTCTATCTGTGTGACCGTGGCAAAGTATGAAACATCCATTCCAATTGATCACGTCGAACAAAGCAGGTGATGTTCTCTTCACGGCTACGAAGAACCAGCTGCAGGTGTTTTCAGTGACCAGTGGCCAGCTATTGGGGAGCTGGGTTGACGATATTGACACCACTGAATCTCTCAGGGCCAAGATCAAAGCCGAGAGGGAAAGACAGCTCAAGGAGAATGCCCTGAAGGCTGAGAAGGAAGGCGTGCAGCCGAAGAAGAAGAGAAAATCCAACAACTCCGAGCCGAAGATTCCAACGCCTGGCGATGGAGCACCAACGATCTACAACTACATCAGATCTCTACAACTGACTCCACAAGAGGAGCATCTCGTTTGCACCACTGATTCCGACAAGTCGTGTATCGTATTTAAGTTGAACTTTGGCTCTGAAAACTGCCTGGAGCTCATCAAGAGACAGCCTTTCCCAAAGAGACCTTCTGCCATCACCACAACAACAGATGGTTCCACGGTGCTACTAGGCGATAAGTTTGGTGACGTGTACAAGGTGCCAATTGATTCACAGCCTCCTGTGGAGATCAACAGTGAAACTGATCCTGTGTTGGGTCATGTGTCGATGCTTACTGATTTACTCCTCGTTAAGCACGACTCGAATGAGTACCTCATCACTTGCGACCGTGACGAACATATCAGAGTGTCTCATTACCCACAGGGGTTCATCATTAAATCGTTCTTATTCGGACATGAGGAATTTGTCAACACTTTGCTCGTGCCAAGTTTCCAACCAAATGTGTTGATCAGTGCAGGTGGTGATGATTACATCATCTCATGGGACTGGGTTAAAGGGGAGAAGTTGGACAAGTTCGACATCAGAGACCTTGTTGAGCTTGACGATTCACATTTGGCACCTTCAAAGTTCCAGAACGCAAATGGTGACTTGAAGGAGATTAGCGTGGCTGAGATAAAGGAATTACCAAGTCTATATGCCATTGTGGTGCTAGTGGAGGCTACAAAATCGTTGTTGGTTATCAAATTGGATCAAAAAACTGGTAAAATGTCCCTCTTCAAGAGAATCGATTTTCCCAACAAAGTCATTTCATTCACAAGCACAACAGATAAGATCATCGTTTCTTTGGAAAGCGATAGCATGTTGAGCTTTGTCGATCTGGAAACCTTGGAGATATCAAAGACCCACGATGCTTTGGATAAGATCGTTGCAAACTCCTCGGTCGAGATTGAGAACAAGGAACAGTTGTTCCCATTGTATACTACATACCAGCTGCGTAAACGTAGTGAACATTGATCGATGTATTAATACGAGTTAAAGACATAAATTGTATCCAGTAGCTTTGGAAGGACTTCAATTTCAGCCTATCTACACAGCGAGATGTCAACATTGAAATGATGTAGATAGCAACATTTCTCACTTAAGAGGTTACATAAGTGTAGAGGTCCCTGTGATCTTTCCACAGTTATACAGTTATGACATGGTTCAGTGAAATGTAATCTAGGTACAAGTAACGGCCGTCGTGGTATAAAATTGAAGAGATGAATATTGTTCTTGAATGTGACCAAAACGATGATGACCTTCAACAAGTGCTATCGTCTGGAGAATCTGACTCATACAGAATTTCTGAGATTCGATAACACAATTGAGAAGAGGAAGTCAACTTGGCATTAGAACAAGGAAGAGTATGCCACATATTGCTGAATACTTTGCTTTCTGGAATATCACACAGAAGTTCATTAACGAAATAAATTCCAACATCCAGCTGGTGATCTTTCTCAAGGTGCAGGACTAACTGTTCTAATAAGTTCATTGAGAGTTGCGAAGACGGAACCAAAGCCTCCAGTCTCCAGGAGCGACTTCTTTCAATTCATGAGTCATATAACAAGCTATGTTGTTTAGTCATTTGGCTTGTCAATGGTGAGCTTATCATCAACTACTTCGCAGATGTTAACAATCAAGTGTCACTCGATGAGCTTGTGACCGTCTGTGGTGATCTCATTAAGCCCATCTTTTCTGGACTCGCTTTGCCTGTCCATCAATAAAGAAAGTGCATTTTACATTGTCTAATGCCTCAGCCTTAACTTCCATATAAGCCTCAGT